CAACCCTGGTCCTTGAGGAACACCACCCTGCATGTTTTAGTTGTTTCTCTGCTCCGACACACCTGATTTTAATAAATGGGCGATTAACAGGCTTCTGCAGAACATGAGGAAGTAATTAAATCACTGAATCAGATGTGTTGGAGCAGGGAAACAACTAAAACATGCAGGGTGGTGTTCCTCAAGGACCAGGGTTGGGAACCACTGGTTTAACACACTGCCTCTGCAGAAAAATATTAAACTCTAGTTTCTGTCTTATCTCTCATTTGTGTGATATCCAGTGAAAACGGACTACATATTTTAGGTTTTTGTCATATTTGTCTGTTTAAAGACTTATCAGAGTTATTTCCTGCCTGTCGCCTGCTTTTAAACATTCCAGCCAAAGAAAGGTAAACAGAAAGTTTTTATCTAAAAGATAAATAAACAAAACGGGTTTTTCAGGATCCATTCAAAGTTCTTTGACTTTAACAGTTTGCATCACTTTACAGTTAATTCTGGCGCGCCAACATGCAAATATGGGAAAACGTTTTGCATGGATCACTGTTCTGCTTCATTCTTCACCCAGAAAAAGTTTAAAGGAGAAAGCGTCGCTTGTCTCTTTTGTTGTTTTGAACCTGGCGTTGTCATGAGTCAGTGTTTGGTTTTGCTTTTAGCTGAATAAAAGCAGTGGCAGCAGGAACAATGATCACCAGCTGTGCTGTTAAACACAGATGCGTGGCGGCGTGCACGACTGTCTCATCCCAGTGTGGCTGAGAGGCAGGTGTAGGCTCAGATATATACGGATCTATTTTAATCCTGACATGCCATTGGTGGACTCACCTTTGACCCCTCCTTCCTCAGCTCAGCTGGCTGGGCGGATCGTGACGCACACTTCCCCAAACTGAAACAGTTTCTGCTGTGATGCAATAACCCTCCACAGCTGACTGATGAGCACAGTCAGGAATCAAACCACCGGCTGACGTTCACATGACTCTCACCACCTCTCCCAGCTCACTTTACACACGTTATAAGCATTTGAGCTATGTTTGAATGATTCAGGTTAGTGACGAATCAAGGATGAATTCTGTCCTATTTGTATTTATTATTGATCAAAACTGAACAAATGAACTCCAAATCACTGATCGGGTCACGGTTTAGTGTTTTCTTTTTGTTCTGGATTCAAACTGAAACTCACTTGTTCAGTTCTTTCTAGACTAGGGGTTCCCAAACTTGTGACCCCATGTCCAGTTTAAGAGAACAAACTTTGCTAATAAAAGTATTTAAGAGTACAAAGACCACGCAGTCTTAACAATTGTGATACTTTTTTTTAAATTTATGACTGCTGAAATTCTTATTTGGAATGTTTTTGGTGAAACGATGTTTTTAACAATCGTGTGAATAATAAGTCAGCATTGCTTTCTTGTTTTCTTTTTGTGTGTTTTGTAATCCTTTGTCGTTTTAGCCATTCATGCATCAAAAGGTTTAGCTCATTCAGGAAATGAATATTAAGAATTTTAATTTTTTTGTTGTCATTTTTATATTTTTCTAAATAATTATCTTTACATTCATCCCACAGAATTACATTTGGAAATGTTAAGTTCTTTAATGAAACGAGAAATCTGGTTCAGAATACTTGCTCCATTTTTGTCGTCTTTTTGGCTACTTTTAGCTACGAATCTTTTAGCTACCGTTCTACTTTCTGCTACCAATCAGCTATATCTAGCTACCATCTGCTACTTTACTTTCTGCTACCATACTTGTAGCTACTTCTACTTTTAGCTACCAATCTGCTACATTAGGGTGACCAGATGTCCCCGATTTTCGGGGACAGTCCCCGTTTTGGACGACCTGTCCCCGGCTAAAGCTGTCCCCGAAAATGTCCACGATTTGAGCGTTTAATGAATGAGAAAGAAAAAAAAAACATTGCATGTAGACTGTTATTACACTTAGCTGCCAATCTGCTACCAATATACTACTTTTGGCTACAAATCTGCTACCATCCTGCTACTTTTAGCTACTTGCAATGCTTTACTATGGTAGCTTTTAGCTATCCTTTAGCAACTTTTAGATAGCAATTAGTTACTTTTACCTACAGTTCTGCTACTTGTACTTTTTTTGTTTATTTTAGCATTGATAGCTTTTAGCTACTTTCAGTTTTTAGGCAGCAAAACCTTTGTTTAGCTTTTAGGACTCTTCTTTATTTTAGCTAGTCTTTTGTTACTTTTGGCCTTTAGCTAGCCGTTTATTACCTTTAGTATTTTGCTTGTCTTTTGTTACTTCTCGTAAGCATTTTTAAGAAATATTATTAAAAATACCATTAATTATAAAATGTACATTTAAAATTGATTAAAAAAAAACATTTTTTTTTTATTTATAAAATCTATTTCTGCTAATGCATCTTTTGGCTAATGTCAGCTTTTACCTGCTTTCTCAGCTACATTTCAGCTAATTCTGCTAACTTTTTAGCTACCTTTCACCTAATTTAAGCTTTTATGCATTTTTTTCAGCCCCCCCCCACCACCACCACCACACAAATTTCAGCAGCTTTTGGATACCTTTAGCTTATTTCTGCTAATTCCATGTTTTAAAAACTTTTTTGATAATTTGAACTTTTTGGCAGGAGTGGTGGCACAGAGGTTAGAGGAAGTGGGTCTGCGATTGGAAAGTCGCCGGTTCGACTCCCCCGACTGACAACATCAAAATGTGGGTGGAAAAGGTGAACCACACCTGCCTCCACCTTCATTTGCACCACTCTGAGCCCTTGAGCAAGGCCCATGACCCCCACCATCTGCTCCCAAAAACAGGTCTCTCTTGAAAATGAGTCCTCATGACTCAATGAGACTACCTGGATAAACAAAGTTTAAATAAAAATAAAACATGTTGCGTGCTCCTTTCAGCTAGTGTATACGCTTTAGCTGGTTCAGTAGCTTTCAGCAAATTCATTCGGCAAGCATTCACTATTTTCTCTAGTTTTTGCTAGCTTTTTAAAATTTACTTTTAGCTAGTGTTTAGCTGCTTTTAGCTACTGCTCTTTTAGCTTTAATACCTCAGCTTCTCTAACAAGTTTATTTTATTCAGCGTTTAGTGCATTTGGAGAGTTTTTGAGGATTGTATTGGGTGTTTCATGACCCACGGTGGGGGGTCCTGAGCCCCACCAGGACAGTAGACAGCATGAGGTTCTGCAGAGGCTCCTCAGGTGTTTGAGGACCTGAGCTCCTGCTGAATCCGTTGGGACGTCGGGCGCCATATTGCGCCGGGCTGAACAGGAAAATCTGCGGCTGCACGCTTCGAATCGCCACTTTTAAATCTGAAACATCTTCGGTAAGCCTGGCTTTAGAAGCCTTCTGTTGTTCTGATAGCACAAGTCAGGTTGAAGCTGCAGGAAATGAAATAAACACAGTTTTAGCACTTTCCCTCGTCTCGCGCGCGCCTGAGGAAAGCCTTCCTGTTAACGCAACAGGTGTCTGTGGGATTAGAGAGGATGACTGGAGCTCATATAATCTGCACAGAAGAAGCTGCTTCACCATCCGAGCCGATTCGACTGGCTTTCAATCGTTTAGTAGCTCCTCTTAAATAGGAAAGGTGTAGAAAAGGCAACCATTTTTTTTTTGTATTAAAGGAGTTTCCCTCTCGCTGGGTGAGCCTCCCTGGAGAAACATGATCTAAATCGTTACGTCGTTGATCCGTTTATTTACTTAAAACACTCCCACAGTTATATCCTGAGGCAGAACTGATGATATTTTATGTTCTAAAACGCAAAACATTGTTAATTTTTTTTAACGGCTTAATTGGCGACGCAGTTGAATAGTTAAATAAAAGAACGCCGAGGTTTGTTAGCGAACTATGGCGTCATAAAAAATATAAATAAATAAAAATAAATAAAAAACAGACACGGGTGGAGATTTAACGTTCAATTTGCGGCTGTGGGTGAGGCACATTTATTTAATCCAACAGTCAATTGAAAAAAGAAGAAAATGCCGACTTCCTGTTTAAATTTTCAAAATAAATCCCAAACCTGAAAAACAACGTGTCCTGTTGCAAGCTCAGTAATCCAGGTAGATAAATCTAATGAGGTAGAATCAGATCCTCTGGATGTGTTCTTCTTTACTGAAACGTTTCGTTTGTTATCCAAAAAAAATTTAGTGTGAGGAGCTGAAACAAACAGTCCTATAAGCAGTAGGGATGTGCGATATGGCATAAAATTCATATCACGATATGTATTGTGAAGGGTGGCAATAACGATATATATCACAATATGTTTTTGTATAAAACTTGCAATAGAAATGTTAAAAAGCATAGTGTCCTTTTGCTATCATTTATTTTGAAAACTGCTATACCACAAAATAATCTCAATTAAGAAAATTCCACTACTAGGTCCAGGGAGGTTTTAAATAATTAACAAATCAAGTATAAGTCTTCTTTCATGTAGTGCAAAACAGTGCAAAAGATATCAAATGTAGTTTTAGCCATATGTTTTAACAAAATAATATGTTAACTCAACAGTTTCCAGTGTTCTCAAGAAATGAACAGAGCAACAGAGCAGAATGTTACACTGAAAACACTTCACCCTCCAACCCTCTAGTGGGCGTCTCCTTCCGCTTTAAGGAGAGCTGACACAAAATGGCGACCAGTTTCCTCTGTGGCTCTGATCAGAGGGTCTCGCAGTAAAATCACACAACACAGCGTTCTTTTTACAGATCGGAGAGCAGGTTTCTCTAAAGCTGACCTACGCTTACTTTAACTTTCGCCGGGGGGAAAAAACCCCAAAACAAAACTTTTGACGGAACACAGCGTTTTGCGCATGTGTCCGAATACGGCAACAGTACGGCAAGCCGGCCGTAGTTAGCTTGTAGCTTCGCTATTTAGCTCTCGAAGAAAAGACTTCAACATCACGTACGCACAGTTTTCAACTCAAAAATAGTAACGATTAAATCTGACAACTCTGATTTTACATCAGACACAGCATTAATTTAATGTATCGTGTATTTTAGAATGGTTTTAACGGCATGCTTTTAATTGATTTAGCCTTGGTTTTAAAGTTTTTAAAGTTTTTTAATCACATTTTTATTTTGTTTTTATAAGCCAGATGTCAAAGACAAATCGCCATTTCATTGAATGTTATGGACAATAAAATTGAATTGATTGATTACTGCAGTTAGCCGGTAGAATACTATCGTAGGCTAAATGTCCATTGTTTCTACCATGTACCGTATATATTGCATTTTCCTAATAAGCAGCACCTTCTCGTGGCTGATCAACCAGTTTGCTGGTGTCTGTCAAAACTAGTTGTTCACATGGAGGACCATCAGCCTAACAATTGATTGTTAGTGCCCTGATGGTCGTTTGCTATTCAGAGCGCTGAGTGATACTAGCAATAACAGCATTGTAAGAGGGTGACAGCTGAGCACATAGGCCTCCGCCCCTGTTTAACAATGGATGCGTTCTCAGGACGTGACATCTCACAAGCCTTCAAACCCCAAAATACATCAGGACAAAGACTGGTTCATCCCAAAGATCCCGTCTCCTCTCACAGAGTAATATTGTGTATGCTGTTCAGTGTCAGCAGGGCTGGGATCAGTTCAGGGAAACTAAACAGCCACTGGCTAAAAGGATGGCCCAACACAGAAGAGCAACATCATCAGGCCAGGACTCTGTGGTCTACACTCATCTGCAGGCCAGCGGTCACTCTTTCAGAGATGATGGAGAGGAACTATTGTTTGAGAGAGGAGTAAAGGAGGCCATCTTTGTGAAAATAGCCCATCCATCATTAAACGGGGCAGAGGTCTCTGTGTTCAGCTGTCCCCCTCTTACAATGCTGTTATTGGATCACTGAGCCATCAGCGCCACAGCCGGAAGAATTCTAGATAAAAGACGAAACATTTCAAGAAAGAACAATCCGTCCAGAGGAGCTGACTCAGCCTTGTTAGAATGTTTGATTGTATTTAAATATGTTTTAAAATCTTATTTGGTTAGTGCTTTTTCTTTTTTTGAGTTAAAAATATTGAATAATTTCACCATATATTTTGTTGTACTGAACGTGAATAAAATAATTTGCAAGCATGCTCAGTCCTCCTGAGAGTTACTGAAGCTGCTGTAGTCGGTTTCTGTAATGTATGCAGTTCAAAGCTTGAGACTCCACTTTCCAGGTTTTAAATGTGTCCAAAATGAACAATATTCTGTTTTTAATGTTCATATTTACCTAATCGTATATCAGTTAAGGATTTACGAGGAGTGACAACCAGAACAATTTACCAAACTTAAAAAAAAAAACCCACCACATACTAAAAAAGTAAATAAAAAACTTTAACGCTTACTTTTAAAAAGACCAAACATTTTTTGATGGCTTGGTTCGTGCCTCGTGTACCCAGACTCAAATGCTTTGGGCTGAATGGATCAGATCTTGGGGATTTTACACAGTCACGGTCCATCGGTGTGGCCATATTATTTTGGACATTTCGGAACCGAGTGGACCAACACAGACTCAAGGCAAATGTCATTAAGTTCTGCCTGTCCCCAAAACAACTGTTTATCTAAAGTCGCCTTGGCTGGCCTTGAAGGCCACCTTATCTGAATTCGCCTGGAGAACATGTGATCTGACGCTCACCACCCCCTCCCTGAGGAATTTCCAACTGATAACCAGATGAACCAGCTGAATAAACTTTGTCATCATTTCAGGACTCTTGGATTCTCATAGACGTTATTCTTGGCTGTTCCTCGACATACCTCGAGAATGTTTATGGATCTCACCGGAGGACATTGACTGATTACAGTGACCTCGAGAGCATCTATAAGCGTTGCTGTTGTCTCCAATTGCAGAATGTCTACGTAAATATGTGCTTGTTTGTGCGAGGTGTTTTTTTAATATCAGACTTTTTTTTTCCTCAGGCAAGAAAAAAAAGTCTGATAGGAATTTTTGTTCGCCTCCAACTCCTACATGTGTCCAGTTAACCACTGTTTTTTGTCTGTCCAAACAGGTCTCGCTTGTAAATGAGTCTTCGAGGCTCAATGTGATTTATCTGTTTAAATAAAGGTTGAATGAAAAAACCCCACACATTTTTGGTTTAAACTTCAACGAGTTTTGAAGCTTTAGCTGTTGAAACTCTTATTCTGAAGGCAGAACACTACTTCCTGTTCAGAGCTCGCTAGCTGCGGTTAGCTTGCGGCTAACGGCGGTGATTCATCCCGGTGAGTGTCGCGTGCAGGAGTGTCGCTGCCTCAGCAGGCTTTAAGTAACGCAGAAGAGGCTGAAACAAGTTTCTCTTCTTTTCTCTCATTTCAGGAAGGCGCCGTGAGAACCACAGCTACACCGAGCACAGATTTTTTTTTTTTCTTCTTAAAACATCGTTTCATCCAACAGCATCCAGGATAAAAAAAAATATATAGAATAAAAAAACAAAAATGCCGAAAGCGGTAAGTGACTTTGGTTTATTGACATTTTACAACTCTTTGAATCGCCGCTACATATTAAGACAAGCTGCCCAACATTACAGACAACGTTTAAAGTTGGAAGTTTTGTTAAATTTATTTTAAGTTTAGAGGTCATATTTGTGTGTTTCTTTAGGCAATACTAATTGGTGACATACTATAAAAAAAAAATTAAAAAAAATTCTACCACACATTGTATCTGATAAAATATTCACAATAAATGAAGCAAAATGCAAAAATGTAGAGGATCAAACCAAACCAGGAACAGAATTATCTCACTGGACTCTGATTTGTATTTTTATGCTTTAAATGTAAAAGAGTGTGTGTGTGTGTTTAAAGGGATTGCTGTGATCACATGCACACCTTGTATCCTTGGTGTGTCCTAGTGAGGTCACTTTGCTTTTATTTAGTTGAGCACAAAGAGAAGCAGATTTGTGGTGATGTGGTTTGTTTGGGTGGGTCCAGATATTGATTAGTTGTTTAATCTTTACCTCAGCCGATGTACACCATCACAGATCAATGTAATGTGATGTCACCTGTTGAATTTTCAGGCCTGAAACCTGTGCGTCCTCTTGACACCTTGGTGTTTACAGACGTGGTTTTATGTTGCTCTATATTTTGGAACAGGTTTGTTTGCACCTTCCATTACCATACCTGACTCACTTCGCCCCACCCCAGCGGGTGCATAGTGTTCAGTCGTACTCATCTCTGCTCCGTGCTTGGAAATTTCTGGTTAGGCACATGTGCACTTTATGTACGCAGGAAAAAGTGATGGAGATATTAAGTCTGTTGTTTTTTTTTTTCTTCCCCCAACACAGCTGAACTCGTCTAAAGAAACAAATTGAAATAGAAAGTTCAAGGATGACCATAACTTAGCTCAAATAAAGGAACAGATCTGTAAGAAGAAAACCAGCTGCCATCATTAAGTTGTTCGTGGACAGAGGAGCAGGATTGGGGTGGCTTTAAAAGTGCGTCTTTGTGACCACACGGCGTCCTCGTTCTTTGGGGCGCACAGTGAGACATTCGCCATTTGGCGCCATTTGGGGAGTGGTGGCGCAGAGGTTAGAGAGGTGGGCTTGTGATCCGAAGATCGCCGGTTCACGCCCCGGCCCCGACAACATCAAAATTGTGGGTGGGGTAGGTGAAACACCCACACTTGCCCCCACCCTCATTCGCCCCACTCTGGGCCCATGAGCAAGGCCCTTAACCCCCCATCTGCTCCCTAAACAGGTCTCTCTTGAAAATGAGTTCTCGTGGCTCAATGAGACTAACCTGGATAAATAAAGGCTAAATGAAAAAAAAAAAAAAATTTGGCAGTTGGGGGTTCGATTCCACCTACAGTCACATATTGAAGTGTCCCTGGGCAAGACGCCGAACCATCCCATCGGTGTATGAATGTGATCTAAAGCACTGATTAGTCTACAGATTCAGATTAGAGAGACGTAGTAGAGTGATGTATAAATGGGTAAACCAGGGCACAGATTGTGTTGTAAAGCACTTTGAGTATCTTGATTAGATAGAAAGGCGCTAAACAAGTACAGTCCATTTACCATCAGTAAGAAGACGCCAAGTCTAAACTTTCTGTTTGATTCTGATCAGAGAGCGCCATACCTTTTTTTTAAAAAATATTAATCCACCAAGTGCTGAGCCTAAAACTGTTTAGAAATTTTTGTTGTCCAGACAAATGTAGCACAGCAACGGGCAAATAAGTGATATGAAGTTACAGCTAACAAGCGTGGAAACTACTGCACCTCCTCATAGTACCACGGTGTTGGTTTATGTGTTGCCATTTTTTGGATAGATTTTTACACACATATACTTTTACAAGTAAATAACAAATGCTGTTGTTGCAAGGTTTAAAAAAATGGTTAAGGGCGCTCATGAATGACATCGCTCTTGTCAGTCAATAGCCTGCAGTCTGCTGACGTCATAGCTTCAGCTGGACTCGCTCGCTTGGAACTCGGCCCAGTTGGTCCTAAGAACTGAGCTGGAATAGCATGGGACCGTCTGATGGAACGGCTCTGAAGCCAAGCCGAGGGAAGCCCATGGAAAAGGTCCAAAAGCGGCTTTAAAATAGTTTCCCGCTTGTTGACTTGTTAAATAATCTAGTTTAATACAGCCCAGAGTTATAAGACGTAATATTTCAAACGTTCAGTGCATAACGCGTTGCGCTTTCTAAACCGATGAAGTTATCTCGTTTGAACAGAATAATCAAAGCTCTGTCACAGACTTGTCTTTGAGTCAGCAGTTTATCAAACATCCGTTTGATTTCCAAAGAGACTAAGAATAGAAATCCTCACATCAGATTTTTATCTTCTAGTTCAAGCAAAAAACCAAATGTTTGTGGAGATCCTCGGATAAGGTTTTACTAAACATACAGAGTGAGGGATGTGTCGTAGCTTCCTGCGTTTAAATCTCTTCTTTTGTTTTTTCCTTGAATGTCAACTCTTATCAGCCACGGTGCACAAATGGCCCCAGAAGTCTTAAAAAATGGCCAACCCCAGTAACTCTTTAAAACGTTGCGTTTGACTGTTGTAGCACAACAAATGAAAACGGTTTGATTCTGTAGTTGCAGCTGTTTTTTTATTACAGGGCTAAGGCACTCGGTGGGAAGGAGCTCGCAGCAGATTAGAGGAGCAGTGTGTACGTAAAGCTGCTGTATTGATATCGTTGTGACTCATGTTGCACTTCTTTCAATGACGCATTGTTAAAAGTAAACAGGAGTGCTCCTTGGCTCTCCCAGAATCCTGTTCTCCCGTGCTCAGAGCCATGAGGCACACCACTGGTATTTGTTCCTTCTTTTAAATTTGTTTAATGTGGAAACGCTCCAGGAATAATCCTTCACTATGAAAGCAGTCTTGTGCCATTCTTGCAGGCCCGTTTTCCTTTCCTTATCACTGTCTGGCCGTTACAGTTTAATCCCCATGGTAACGCCCATTGTTAGATTCTTGTAAAGCACGCAAACTATGCAGAGGGTTAAATATTGAACGGTCTTTGCTAAATAAATGCAGCTTGGCTTATTCATTCAAACTACAGAAGTGATGACAGCTTTGTTTCTTTAACTTGACCCGAAGCAGCTCTTCAACATGAGGGGCAGTGATTCAGTTCAAGATTGTCCTGAACAAGGAGGGGCAGTTAGTTGGTACATGATCAACTGAGGCTGGGAAATGGCACGTTGAGGAAGGGCTTGATTGATTAATTGACTAAACATTACTTTATTTGGAATGTGTTGCAGCTCTTGTTCCTAAAACATTAGGAGAATGGGTAGAATGTGAATAGGAAAGAGTTGATGAACTAATAATTCCAAAAAATTATATTTAAGTGGAACTGGTACAGTATGGGAGGAAATTAAGCAGGAAACATTTTAGATAAAGTTCTGACCGAAGCAGACTGTTAAAGTTGCAACATGCTGAGGGGTGGCAGTGAAAATCCACCTACTGGGAGTGTCTTAAAACATTTTATTTTAGAAATTAAACTACAAATTGGTTACTAAATTGAAAATGAATTCCTGATTTCAACTTTACAATTACAATATATTAAAAGATTTTGACCAAGATTGTCCAATCTGCTGTCCTGCACGTTTTACTTGTTTCCCTGCTCCAACACCTGATTTAGTGAATGAATTCTCTCCATGTTCTGCAGAAGCCTGTTAATCACCCACTGATTCAAATCAAATGTGTTGGAGGAGATAAACTTCAAAGATGCAGGGTAGCGAGCCTCCAGGACTGGACACTCCTGATGTAGACAGGGAGGAGAGTGGACAGTTCCTAAAATAAGTGTTCACTCTTCTGGTCGTCGAACAGAAATGTGCAACGTTTCCTTTAGCCTAAAGAAAGAAGGCACTTTGATTTTTGTTACAAACCAGATTCCAAAAAAGTTGGGACACTAAACAAATTGTGAATAAAAACTGAATGCAATGATGTGGAGATGGCAAATGTCAATATTTTATTTGTAATATAACATAGATGACAGATCAAAAGTTTAATCTGAGTAAATGTAACATTTTAAAGGAAAAATATGTTGATTCAAAATTTCAGTGTCAACAAATCCCAAAAAAGTTGGGACAAGCAGCAATAAGTGGCTGGAAAAAGGAATTGAGCATATAACGAACAGCTGGAAGACCAATTAACACTAATTAGGTCAATTGACAACATGATTGGGTATAAAAAGAGCTTCTCAGAGTGTCAGTGTCTCTCAGAAGCCAAGATGGTAAGAGGATCACCAATTCCACCATTGTTGCGCAGAAAGATAGTGCAGCAATACCAGAATGGTGTTACACAGCGTAAAATAGCAAAGACTTTTAACTTATCATCATCAACCGTGCATAACATCATCAAAAGATTCAGAGAATCTGGAACAATCGTTGTGCGTAAGGATCAAGGCCGTTAAACTCTACTGGATGCTCGTGATCTCCGGGCCCTTAAACGTCACTGCACCTCAAACAGGAATGCCACGTTCAAGGAAATAACAGAATGGGCTCAGGAATACTTCCAGAAAGCATTGTCAGTGAACACAATCCACCGTGCCATCCGCTGTTGCCAGCTGAAACTCTACAGTGCAAAGAGGAAGCCATTTCTAAGCAAGCTCCACAAGCTCAGATGTTTGCACTGGGCCAGGGGTCATTTAAAATGGAGTGTGGCAAAATGGAAGACTGTTCTGTGGTCAGATGAGTCACAATTTGAAGTTCTTTATGGAACACTGGGACGCCATGTCATCCAGACCAGAGAGGACAAGGATAGCCCAAGTTGTTATCAACGCTCCGTTCAGAAGCCTGCATCACTGATGGTATGGGGTTGCATGAGCGCTTGTGGCATGGGCAGCTTGCATGTCTGGAAAGGCACCATTAATGCAGAGAACTATGTTCAGGTTCTAGAACAACATATGCTCCCATCTAGACGTCATCTCTTTCAGGGAAGACCCTTCATTTTTCAACACGATAATGCCAGACCACATTCTGCAGCAATCACAACATCATGGCTACGTAGGAGAAGGATCCAGGTACTGAAATGGCCAGCCTGCAGTCCAGATCTTTCACCTATAGAGAACATTTGGCGCATCATAAAGAGGAAGGTGTGACAAAGAAGGCCCAAGACGATTGAACAGTTAGAGGCCTGTATTAGACATGAATGGGAGAGCATTCCTATTTCTAAACTTGAGAAACTGGTCTCCTCTGTCCCCAGACGTCTGTTGAGTGTTGTAAATGCCCCACCGTGGTAAAAATGGACTTGTCCCAACTTTTTTGGGATTTGTTGACGCCATGAAATTTGGAAACAACAGATTTTTCCCTTAAAACAATACATTCTCTCAGTTTAAACTTTTGATCTGTGATTTGTGTTCTATTCTGAATCAAATATTAGATGTTGGCACCTCCACATCATTGCATTCAGTTTTTATTCACAATTTGTTTAGTGTCCCAACTTTTTTGGTATCCGGTTTGTAGAAACACACGGCTCAAAAGCCGGTATTTGTGATGATGTGCAAGGTATAACAATTATTATCAACGTGCACTGCTGTGGAGACTCGTATGATGCTGAACATTTGAACATGTGCAATTTTTCAAGGCACATGCCATCCAGAGTTTGTTGACCATTGTTTATTTCAGCTACAGGATGCCAGACCTTTTTTAGCATAAGCTTGTCTGTGTTGAGTTCAGACACGTCTACCACAGATAACGTTTAAGGTATTATAAAATGGAAAATGTAACCATTAAAATAAACACATTTCTGGTAAAATGGCAGAAAAAGGTCTATAATCAGGTTTCCAAAGACGGATGCATCTAAAATAAGTTTTTTTGTAAATGGAAATGTATTTTAGAAAATTCATTGTTTGAATCAAATTTGAAATAAGTGCTTATTGTATTAAAAAATGATCTGAGCTTCAAAATTCCAACTTTATATATAAAAAGAAATCAACATAAAAAAATACAAAACCACTTTTTTTATCCCACTGAAAACAGATTCCAAAAGTGAAACCCAGCATGGATCCAAAGCAGCTTGTATGTTTTTATAACCAAGATAAAACACTACGCTGATTGTCAATTGTGCGAAAATGTACTGCTTCTGTGGAAGGTGTTTTGGTAAAAACAAAAATAAAGTGGATTTATTATTCACTTGTACACCACGGCTGGGATTCTCATGTACTTTACATGTATATGTTGCCGGAACAACTGCCACAACACAAAACATGTACAATTCACATCAAATGGAAATGCAATAGCCCCACAAAATTAAGAGTTTATTTAAATGTTCTGATTTTAAATAATGATGAATTCAATTTAAAACGGTTTAATTCAAAACTGTTGGATAGCTCAAAAGGCAGTTTTTCATATTAGAGATTGAAATATCAAAAACTTTATACAAAAAATACTGCACATCTAAAATGAACAATACAGCTAAACAAATAGTAAATGCATTTTTTTTAGTGCAACCAAAGTTTGAGTTTGGCCTTTAAACATGTTTCTAAAGGTTTTCAGTAGTTAATCTAAATTTACTGGCAAATTTTAATCAATTTTTAAACGAGTAAAAAGATGAATGGAAAATAGAAGTTGGTTGTGTCTGTGTAGTTTGTGTTGTACATTTTTGATCCATTCGCGTTTTTCTGTATTGCACAGCGCAGTTGTTCCTAAAGTCGTGTAACCCCAAATTGTGAGCTTGAAATGATTTCTTAAAAAATTATATTTAAGATTTTCAAATAAGAGGATGTTTTATGAAAACAGTAGTCGTAAACTAGAAAGTTCCTGGAGAAACTTTGAAGGGGACTGCCACGTCGTGGCCATTTTAAAATTTCAATTTGAAGATACTATTTGGGTTTGCTCTCAGCTACCACTATGCCAAATTTCAGCTCAAAATAGCAAATTATCAATGAGTTAATTTTTTTTTTCTTTTAAGTTATGGTGGCCATTTTTGATTTGGATTCAGTATGTGATGGGGAAGGTTCTCAGCTATAACTACACCAAATTTCAGCTCTTTGTGCAAAATTGGCTGAGTTAAAGCCATTTAAATAGAGCTTTGGTGGCCATCTTGAAATTAAAAAAAAATATTTATTGGACATTTACCTCATCTACTACCACACCAAATTTCAGCTTAATAGCTCTAAAAAAGGCTAATTTTACAGTATATTTTTCCTTTTTAGCTCAGGTGGCCATCTTGGATATTTGATTTGCAACCAGTCTGAAAAATTACTAATAAAAATGGCGTCTTTATTTGCAAATTACGTTGCCATAGTAACTTGAAACGCCAGCAAAAGTAATGGCACCCATCACGGTCCTGAGCTGGTCGTTTTGATACATTTGTGGGGGTACACATTGCGGTTCGGCCACGTTAAAGTTGACAGGAGAGTAAGATATAAAGTTAAGAAACCCTTGTCAGGTGGATAATAATAGGTGGCTGACTTATTATTTGTGTTGTCATTATAGTCCCATTTTATTGACTATAAGCACTGTTTGTACACTTCAACCAGCTAAAGATGAGGTCATAAGTCTTTGCTTCTGTTTTGTGGGCCAGAAGCTAAAAGGTTTGGGAACACTGACATGCTGATGTGTTTTTTTGTTTCTTGGTTACCAGTTTTGCACATGCTGTCTGTTGGTTTGGCTGTCTGCTTGTTTGCTTCAGGAGCTAAAAGGACTGATACAATTATTACTGTAATGACTAATAACTTCTCCAATACCATCTTCTGACTAAACTTGTCCATTGTGGAAGTTTGGGTCTTTTCCCAGATTATTTTTAGGAAATGTCGTGTTTTCTTCACCTCTGTGAACAGCCTGGGTTTATTGTGTGTTTCTGTTGGAGAGCTTGGTTTCAGATCAGATGTCACTCTTAGTGGTTTCTGTTGAATGGGCCGAGCCACTTATTCACATGTTCCACTCTCTGTTGGTTAGGGTGTGTTTTTCTAGGTCCTTCATCTGTAACTGCTGTAAATATAGACCATGACGTTGAGAGAAGCGTCCTAAAAAGTTAAAGCTTGGAAACAAACATTTAATCAAGAGAGATTAAAATAAAGAAGAGAGGGTTGCATGAGTTATGGCGCTGTTCTAGTGGTCGGCCTTTATAATATGCCTTCTCTGTCACAGTGGGGGAACTCGTATAGGGTACTGCAGCTGAAAGGGAATCTTTGTTTTGCCGTGTGGAGTAAACACAGCCCCCCCTTCCACCCTCCTTCTACTGCTTTTTAGGTTTGACTTGAAGGTGAATGCTTAATTGGCTATCTGACTCTTAAATTTCAAATTGTGCACACGTGTTAAAACAGCACTGAACTAAAAGGAAAAAGGTTTGGTTGCTCTGAGTGCTTTGATTTAGATTGCTGTTTAAAAAGTTTGCCAGAGCGTCTGGAAGCTTTTAGAAGAGCAGAACAAATAATTGAGGAGATGGGGCATCCTAAATAGCCACTGTCTAGACTCCAGAGTTCCTATAACTTCCTGAACTGTGCCGCATAACTTATAATTATAACAATGGAAACTAAAATAAGAGTGCTTTCCATCCAGTGCTGTGATTAGATTTGCTGTTTCTGCAGGATTTCCTACCAACCGTTAGTCGCTCAGCTTTTGTTGATCCATGGGAACCAGAGATGCACCGAGTCCCCAGACCGAGGGTTCCCTGGTCCCATAGGTGGCGGTGAATTTGTGTCGCCGAGGCTCGTCTCACAATGGACTGGAGATGAAAGATGTCACTGGAGGCTTTCTCTTCTAACTCTCTGTCCACAAACCTCTTTGTATCATTTTCAGTCTGTGTTAATACTTCATCCGAGTCCTTTTTATAGAACCGCAAATACCAGAGACATTTGACATTATACCCACAAAAAAGCCATTCAGTAAGTACATTACCTCAAAGCAGCCATTGTAAATATTTAAGTATAGCCGTAGGTTCATGGCCTTTGTTTAAAGTCTGATGTCATTTTCTGATTACGGAAAAAAAAAAAACAGACAACGCTGAATATAGTTTCTCCTCTTCATGACACACAGTGTACGTCAGTTTTTCTTTATTCTGCGTGGCACGCCAGCCATTTCTGTTTGCATTTATTTTGTCTTTTGAGTATTTTTTGTTGGGGTGGAGCAATATGCGAAGATAACTATGGACGTCCTAGTTATGAACGAGCAGGTCACTGTGCTCCGTCATTAACCCGAGGTCTGCCTTATTTCTGTAAATGCAACTAGAGTTTAACCAACTCTGAATGATCCACTCGTGTTGTCCTTGTTTGATGAATCTGTTTGGCACGCGGTGAAATGGTCCTTTTTTATTTTCAGCTGGAGCATGGCAACCTTTTTTCAGTAGAGCACAGATTTAGCTGCAGAGTTCAGTTCAATAGGTCAGTCTGTCTCAAAGAAAGCAGCTACTCTGCAAATACAGCCCCCCACCCCCGTAACAAGTGGAAACAAGCACACACCTCCAACCACTGCTCTGTAGATGGTCATGCTACGAGACCCGCTCTGTTTAATTGCGACACCTACTGAACTCCTGTTTTTCCACAGGTCAGTGTTCGGGTCACCACCGTGGATGCTGAGCTGGAGTTTGCCGTCCAGCCCAACACCATCGGCAAGCAGCTCTTTGACCAGGTAATGTGCATATTGGGACAAGCCTTCAGCACTTAACTAAAGAACAAAACAAACACCAACATCCCCTGATCAGTTTTAGGCAAAATTTATCAGTACCACAATGAAGGCATCATTTTACACTGTTACTCATTAATAAAAATAAATATATAATTGAAAGACAAAACAAAAGATGAAATTAATTCAATTATAAGTTCGTCAAAAGTGGAGAGAACTGTATCTGCTGTACTTGTTGCAAGACGTCCACCAAGACCAATAATCATCCCGCCTTCAGTCTACCTTAACTATTTCTGTTCCAACCTTTTTATTTCTGTGGATTAAATCTTGTTGGTCAGTGTTTATTTCCATGAATGCACAAAGTCTCAAATCATCCCTCTAGTTTTTATGTTTAGGGGAGGCTTAAGCTGCTTTTTGACCTATTTTTTCTTCAGTCATTTTCAGTCTAGTATCTAACTATATTGTAAATACTCATGCACTATAATTTGCAAATCATTCAAGCCCCAAAAGACTCCAGTGTTTTGGCTACATGTAACTAATTAGCCAATATATATATATTTTAAATTGGATCTTATGCGACTTTCCTATTTTTTTTCCTAAGCACACACTACACCATATACTGTCAGGTATCAGGTACTGGACAGAAAATAATAAAATCTAAAGGAAATAACCTCCAGAAACCTGGAGAAGTGATGGAAAACACTTGGAAAGAGAACAACAAAAGTTTTGGTTTCTTTTGAAGCAAAAATTGAAGAAGTATCGGGTGGTTTCAAACTGTTTCATCAGGATTCGACATTCAAAACAGCTAATTATTAAGTTTTTCATCATACATTTATCAGCTAAATGCTTTTTGAGATCAGGATTTTATTATTATTTTTAGTTAAAGAACTTGTAAATTTTCTTTTGTACTATATTCTGACAAAGAATGTGCACCGTGCTGCAGCTCAGGTTGGTATCTCTGTCAGAAGTGACTGGTCTCATTATCAGCCCTCCAAACCACATTCCAACAGTCAAATCCAAAGTTTTCATCTACAGAAAAGATCACAAGAAACTTTAGTTTTAGAGGCGTTTGTCTTTCTTGTCATATTCAGAGATGAAGGAGTGGAACAGACACACCAACAGAATTGAACATATTGAATTTTTTGCACACAACGTCGATGTTTCCGTCTCTAGTCTTGTTTAAAACTGTGAATGAAACCTGTGTAGTTACAGTGTCAGTGGAGAATGAACGGTATGAACTCTGTCAAGAACATATTTTCCTCCTTATGGGTTGAGCTGTCTGTTGTTAGTTATAGGTATTTTTCAACTGATTATTCGTCATCCTTTCCTCATGTTTAGTGATTCACAAAGTAAACTGACATGTTTGAGTAATGAATACAGTTACTTTTCAACAACTAATCACCCAAGACTTTGAGCCTGCAGTGGAAATGAGTTATTTAAAGTAGCTTGTTCTTAATGTTATCGATCACTTGCCTACTAGAGGATAATAGGTATTTTCCTCGCTGTTGGGCTGGGTCACCGAGATCCAAACGTGGAGGACGCGTCATTGATGTGAGCTTTTCTCTGGCTCCAGGTCAGCACTGAAGGAAAGGCATTGTTTTAGCCATTTCCTGTATAACTCGTTTTTCAGTGGCAAGTGCAGCAACTGTGACTCTTGATTCATCGTTCATCTCAGCTCATGAGATGTATTGTTCAAAAGTAGAATATATCCTGACATCTTTGAACGCTGGTGAATTGTCCGACCTACTTGTTAAAATATCTGTGAGTGGGATTTTCCACTGATAATCTCACCCTGTTGGTGTCAGACGCAGTTCACTGCTCTATTTTTGGACTTTTAATGCTATTAGCCGCAGAAGAAACAGCCTTCACACTTGGTCTGTTCACAGTAACTGCTGAGCCACTTGGCTGACGGTTGTGTTCCTGAAGTCTGCCTGTGGATTAATTTGGTATTAAGCGTTTGTTTTAGCAGCGGTACGTTGTAGATGTACAGTCTGTGTTCGACAGGTTCTGTGGAAACGCTGAGCAGAAGCAGTGAGCTCATTTTTAGGGCGAGTGAGGTCTGGTGTGGTCAGCACTGATCACGCAGCTCTTAAAGGAAAGCTCCTCCCCTACACACCCTCCTGCAGTTTCACTTCCACATGACTGTCACAATACTTATTTTACTATGTAACGAGTGGCAGTTATCAGCTTTATCTCAGAAATTTAGGCTGGATTTTGTTTGATCTTGGTTCTTGTTGGGAAGAGCTTGTGTGGTGCCAATTTTTCCTTTGCTGATTTGGCTTGAACTGATAAAAAAAACAAAATGTTTACTTTACTTTAGCTGTTTAACATTAAAGTGCTATGTGTTGTCATTGTATGTTCCCATACAATGATGAAATTAGTGCCCTGCATTTAACCCATCCCACGTGACGTGAGATACACCCAGGTGGAGCTGTGAGCAGCTATGCAAGCGCCCGGGGAGCACTTAGGGATTGGGTGTCTTGCTCAAGGACACCACAACATGTGGGCATAGCAGGGAGTTGGACCTGCGACTTTCTCGTCCCTAGTCTGCTACCCTACCTCTAACCCCATCTCGGCCCCCAAGAGCTAGAGACCAAGCAACGTTTTAATCCTAGTCTGCATAATCTTGCTGACAGGTGCTGAAAATGCAAAAGTATTCCAAGCACACAGGGTTATGTATATTTTTAGCCGTTTTTTAAAATATCAAACCAGGAAATGCTTCACAATGAACATAAGCTCCAACACTGACAATCTTTTTCCTTTAGGAGTTGTCTCAACTACTGTTCCCCACCTTAAAAAGCACTCCTTCATCTTTGTGTCATCCTGTTTGGAGCCTGACTAGCTGGACCCCACCCTGTCCCTCAGTCACCTGAGGAGTTTTGGTTATTTAGCTCAGAGGATGCAGCGAGTAATGCTGCTTCAGCCTGGCAACATTCCTCTCCGTCTGTAAGACGCATTCTTTTACGCCACCTGCGCCTTTTGTTGCTGCAGCTTTCACTTGTAGACGAAATGAGTCTACGCGGCCTCAGAATCTGTGAAGGTTTAGTTCCTTTGGCCCGACCACAAATGTTTTACAGTTTTTCTTTAATCATTACCAGAATGAGCAGACTTCTGCAGGCAGCCACTTCCAAACTCGGGGATATGGTCGTTATGTGCTGAATGTATGGATTATTTAATCTGGAAGTTCACAAAGAAATTCTGCAAGCAACTAAAACAGATTTAAAAACAAGTCCGTTACTAGAAGTTGGCAGTAAAACAGTCACTCAAACTTAGAAGAACCTATTAACAAACCTATTAACTAATATTTGAGCTATAAATCACTTTTTTTTTTTTTTTTTTTTTTTTTTGGGGGTGACCGTTCACTCAAAATGCTGAAACATGCTAACTTGAGCAGCTAGGAGGCTAATTGTCTTTAGTAGGATTAAACGGCATTAAAAACCTTTAAAAATAAAGTAAATGAAGACTTTCTAGTAACCTCCTTTAGTTTTGGACATTGTTGTTTTTTGGGCTGATCTCACTAAGAACTAACGAGTTGTATAGTTGGAACTTTTGAGCCTTTATTGGATAAACAAGCTTAAAAGCGGTCTCCAAAAACAACCTCCTGTGCAGTTTATTTAACCAGCATCCCTTTATTTAGGTTTAATCCTCGTCTACTGGACTATTCGTTAAGCAAGTTTACCATTTCTTCAGGTGTATTTTTTTAGGTTGTTAAGCAAGGACAAGCTTCTTTTCTGTAGGTTATGAAACAACCTGTGTGGGTTAGCCCACTCTGACTCTGACTTCATCGGCCGTAAAGCAAAAGCCACCATGAAAGGGCTACTTGTCTTCTGAGGCTTCGTGAGTTTCGTTGCTGGTGAGACGTTGCTCTCTGATTTCAGCCCTCTTCTGCTGCTTGTTACACTAAATACAATCCATTAGATGTTGCATGAATAAAACCTCTTCAGCTTTACTCCCACAGCTCTGGCTGTGCTATAGTTTGCACAGACCACCAGGAGAGGCAGTTTGTTTTTAGTTTTAACTTTTCCTGGAGCTTTTATTATTGGGAACAAGCTATGCTGGTGTGTCAGCATGTTGACTCAAACTTCACCCAGGAAACAAAGCGCCTCACCTGGTGGCTGGGTGGGGAATTTGGCAGGGATACATTTGAAAAAGGTCCCTGCAAAGGATAGGCTGACTCAAAGATGCATACACACCCCAGAAGCACAATTTCCCACTCTGTGCCGTAGGAAAACTCCTGTGCAAGCCGTAAGGAGAGCCCTTGGTTTCTCTCAGACGCCAGTGGAAATTTGTAGCTCCTCCTGCAACTAAAAGGATTTTTCCAGAGCTATTACTGGCTTTTTCCTCTTTCTGTCCCAGCTGCAGAATCAAAAACTGGTTATAAAGGAGGAAAAAAAACATGCTGCTCTTTAGACAGTCCTTTAGGATCGAACACGCAAGACTTTTTTTTTGAGCAGTTTAGATAAAAAAAAAAAAAGCTTCATAGTTTGGCTTCATGGATGTTATTAATGATTAAAGTAAGTTTCATGTTTGAGGGAGTCCTGTAGCTGACTCACCCCGCCTGTCTCCAACCTCGTCTGTCTGTTTCTGGAGTCGGACAGGATGCCAGTCACGCTCCACAGTGTCACTCCCTGTTCATCGGTCAAACAATACAAGCACTTGAAGATCAGGCGTCATGGTGCTCCCACGAGCTCCACAGAAAATCATACATCCGATGAAAGCAAAGGTGGCATTTTTCAACTTGTCAAAGCTCTAAAATTCACGGTTGAAACCCGTACCTTCGTGTAAAAAGTTGTTTTTCTCTGCAAAAAGAAGCTGAGAACTTGTTTACAGATTTTTTAAATTATTTTATATAAAAGTTTTGTGTGAAAAATGCTATGGTAAAAAGCTCAAACCACACCGAGCGGCTGCCATTTTGAGAACCAAAAAAAAAAAAGGAAGTAGAGACGGCCCATGTCACGTCAAGGGGCTTCCCTCCCATTTTTCTTAGAGACATACTATACTGCTCACTCACTTACTATCCATCCTTCGGTTCAGTCATGTACTGCCATCTGGGGGTAAAAAAAAAAAACGGTTCTACACGCAAAACAAATTAACCAACATTTCTTCTTAAATTTGACAATAATTAGTAATTATTGTCAAATTTAAAACATTATCGTTTATCGCAATAATTTCTGAGACAATTGATTGCCCAGCAAAATTTATCGTGACAGGCCTAGCTACGTTTGTCAATGATAACAATGAGACCTTGTAGTCTTTCCTATTAACAAGTAAAACTATTGTAACGCATCACTACCACTCCATTAGTGTGGGTATGAATGCGATGGAGACAATGAGGCATCTTAGTCTGATGCAGCATTTTAATGACTCTTATCAATATCGGGGAGCAAAAGAAGTTGATTGTGGTTTTTCTATATTTATTAGGAAGATGAATGAAGATGGCTGTAGCGGTTAAAACTGGAACACTGTTTTTTCAATCTTATTTATTCAAAGAAGTCAGACATGCTGTATTTAAAAGAGCACCTTTTTAAATTTCTGTCAGCTGTTGATGACTCTATATCACCCCTGTATGTGGGTCTGGGGATTTGTATCAGTGAACGTTGCCTTTCAAAAGAAATTGGTACACGAATATATACATTTTGAAGTCAAAAGCTGAAAAGTTTGTTTAATGAATTTGTGGAACGTCTCCCCTTTTTATTGGTAAGAGAAGCACCCAAGACTTGTTTGTGTTTACTAGAAAACAAACGGCAGTATCTCGGTAATATCTCCTCCTTGTAACATTTTTAGTTGTGCTGTCACCTGGAAGTGTGGGTGATATTTTTGTTTAACGCTGTCACATTCCTTCATCTTATTTAAAATTACTATTTTACCACTTTCTGTCCAAGATTTTGTCCTTAAATCAAAGAGCAAATTCATAAAAATGCCACTGGAATATGTTTGAGAGCTTAAATAATTTATATTTGTTTCCAAATAAACTGATACTAAGAATTTGTTTTTCAGTGTAAGTCAATTTGATTAATTTTTGTCAATGACAATACAAAAAATGCTATGACAGATCTTCCCAATGTCTTAACTTTTTACAGACTTTACGAAAATAATTCGTCATAAAATCAAATCAAACAACGGAAAATGAAAGCTGTTGATGCCACTCTGTGTGAACACTTTGCTTTTCATTTTGCAGGTGGTAAAAACTATTGGTTTACGTGAGATCTGGTACTTTGGACTGCAGTACGTCGACACCAAAGGTTTATCCTCTTGGCTAAAACTGGAAAAAAAGGTAAGATTCTGATAAAATACAGTTTATCACTATGTTTGGGAGGAAAACGCTGTTTGGTGTGTAAACATTCTTTAAGTCTTAAGCAGTAATCATCTAAACCACACAACAAATAACTCTAAAGTCTCATTTATAGTCATCCAACACCTACTCGTCGTTTTTAAATCCATTTATTAATCATTATTGTCATTATTTGCATGATGTCGGTTACACATTTATGTAAAAACTTCCTGAAAATGCCTTTGTTCAGGTTTTGCAACACTGTCGTGTAATACAGAAGGAATGTATTGTGCTGGAGCTCATTCAATCAGAACCCCTCTGTTTGCATTTTAGTAAATCAGTAGCCATATATGTATATATAATATTCTCACACGCATTGTTCCACTTTCGACACAGCGGCTGGTTTCGAGGTCTGGCCTGGCTGCATGTTATCAGCTGGAGGTGGATTGTTTGAATTTTTTTCTGAACCGAAGCTGCCCTTTTTTGTTTTCTTCCTTTAAACACATTCTTGAGATATGAATAATCTGACTAAACATAAGTAAATCAGCTGTCACATGAAGTCGTATATGCAACAGAACAGAAAGGTTCTAGGTTGTGTTTACCAATTTCCAGATGTTCTGCTAAATTTGCAACTTGGTGCAACCATACGTTTTGAATACTTTCCTAAATCACGGGAGAAATGGCGGCTGAGATGGGGTAGAGGTAGGGCAGCTGACCCGGAACCCGAAACTCCCAGGCTCGATCCCCAGCCATTCCTATATGTCGTGGTGTCTCTGAGCAAAACACCCAATCCCTAATTGCTCCCCTGGCACTTACATAGCTGCCCACTGCTCCACCTGGGTGTATCTCGGATGCGATTGGTTTAATGCAGAGAACCAGTTTTGTCATTGTATGGAAACATACAATGACGACTACACATAGCACTTTAGCTTTATCTGTAAAGGGGAATTCAACTGATTTTATACATTACAGTACATTTACTTGGAAATATGTTTTTTCTGTAGCCTTTAGTAAAATTTGGGATTGAAAGGAAGTGGAATAAATGTTTGTTTTCTCATTAGGGCAGAAAGAAAGTGCCTAAATGAGCTGCAAATGTTGGTGACTAGTTGTAGTTATTCATGAGGAAGCCTCCAGAATATCTTGCAACATTTGTAGGGGTTCTCAGTTGGTTTGCTTGAGTCGCAGTGGCCTGCAGTCTTATTGCTTGAATTTTGAACATGTGAAATAAAAAAAATAAATAAAAAAAATTCCTCTCAACTAGTCAGTCATTTGCAGGCATCTCAAACCCTTCTTGTTTATGTTGCAAGCATCTCCAACCTGGAAAAAAAAAAAGTGGTTTAAATCTGTATCTTGATTTCAAAGTTTGCTCCAGTAGATTAAACCGTAGGCAAGAGGTGTACAAAGCGGGCGGAGGCAGGTGTGATGTGGGCACAAGTGGGGAAATGAAATAATGTACCAGTACACAGCCAAGTAAAGTAAAGTTCTATGTGTCATCATTGTATGTTCCCATACAACGACAAATTTTATTCTCTGCATTCAACCCATCGCACCTGAGATACACCCAGGTGGAGCAGTGGGCAGCTATGTAAGTGCCTGGGGAGCAATTAGGGATTAGGTGTCTTGCTCAGGGACACCATGACATGAGGGCATGGCAGAGAATCGAACTGCGACTTTCTGGTCCCAAGTCGGCTGCCCTACCTCTACACCATCTCGGCCCGGAAGGCTTGTTAGCCGTGCACGCAGATATGAGCTATAATTTTTTTGGGAAAATTGGCTGCACGGCTCTCTGCTCAATTTGTCACAAACACTCAGAATTTAGTGAGACAGCAGTGGAAAATATACCTTTTTACTCACAATACTGAGTCAGTTTGGTGAGATGATACCTTTAGAACATACTGAATCTCAAACAATGTTGGCGAGACAGCATTGTGGGTTACCTACCTGGCAGGTGTTAATAGAAGAATGCATGCATCAAAAAATTTCATTTTTATTTATTTATTAATTTTTTTCACCTGCCTCGATTGTTGTAGACAGTTGGGTACTTTTTTCTTTTTGGGTAGTTTAAGCACAAAAATGTAAAAATTAGAACCCAACTGATGTAGAAATTTTGGCTATCACGGATACCGATACTGGGAGAAGAAAGCTAATGCCGATAACAATATAATGGCTGAAAATTTCTGAGATTTGTCCACCGAGCAGAATCAAAAGCAGCTACTTTTAAACCTGTTTTTTAAGCAGTCCGTCACGTATGTTGAAGGCCTAATTAGTATTGACCACAGCAACATTTTAGTTTTTTTTTTTTTTTCTTTGCAGAGGAGTAAAGATTTCAGACAAAACAATTCATTTCATTGATGATGACAAAGATAACGTTACTAATGCTGATATAGATTTACCTCTACATTTGATTTATTGTTTGGCTACATTTTTCCAAGGTCTATGCTAGGTTATCTAAATGATAGCTTGCTAACTTGAGAGGCACATAGCTAATGATGAGCAGGTTGGAGGATTGAAGAAAATTATTGTAGATAAATTTTTTTTTTAAATTTTACAGATCAGTTAAAATAAATTTGCCATGCTCTGTTCAACAAAATACGCCACACAATATTGCTGTGTACTTCTGCTGTGATGAAAGTGAAACTTAAAGTGAACAGCCATGACTTGAAAGTAGTCCCCATGCGCCCTCTACTGGATACATTGTACAATTATCGCTTGTTCCCTGCATTTTAGGGGTGAAAGTTAGAAGGGTTTATATTGGCACATAATGGAACGGTTATCACCAATATGATATGTTCCCAAATGCCTACATCAGCCTAAAATATCGGCCCTACCGATATAGCGGTCAGGCTCTAGCAAAAATGCTACATACTGAGACCCATTAAAGAGAATTGTCCTCATTGACCCATCAGATTCTACGCTCATCCATGTTGCAGAATTTTAAAATGGCCTCTTCACATTTTATAATCCTGAGAGAGACGCCGTGCATACATCAGTAAACTGATCACTGCTGACGTAGTGCAGCAGCTCACCACTACATTGACGCCCAAACTGGAACATTTCTGGCTCCCTGTTCTCTATTCAGATTGCCTGGTTCTTTTGAAGTTAAAGGAAGAGACGCATGGTGTAAATTCATACTTCAGCTTGAAACTAATGACAAATTTCCACTAAATGAAAGATTCCCTGTTTAGAAAAGCTCCTGAAGAACACAAGAACGCTGCAGAGATTTTTCTGTCCATCTGTGTAAAATGAAGTCCGGTAAAATGAGTAATGTGTTTTAACAAAAAGCACTATTTATAGTTCTAGTACAGTCTGGATATACTGAAATTATGACTCACAAAACAGATTTTTTTAGACATGTTAAGGTTTTAAGTTTCACAATGAGGAACATTTCATTTTCAAAATACTCTGATTTAATTTTATTGTTTTCGTTTTTGAGTTATAAAATTTCAGTAGTGAGAGGTCACAGTTGATCTCATCTTAACAAACAGTAGTCATCCTTTAAGATACGCATTAGACTTTTTTTTTTTTAAATCCTCATCCAGGTTTCACATCAGGACGTGAAGAAAGAGAACCCGCTACAGTTCAAGTTTCGGGCCAAGTTCTTCCCAGAGGATGTTTCTGAAGAGCTGATCCAGGAAACCACCCAGAAGTTCTTCTTCCTGCAGGTGAAAGACGGCATCTTAGCTGACGAAGTCTACTGTCCGCCAGAGACGGCGGTGCTGCTGGCCTCCTACGCCGTTCAGGCCAAGTTTGGCGACTACAACAAAGAAATCCACCGGCCTGGATATCTGCTGTCAGAACGGCTGCTGCCCCAAAGGTAACAGAGAAGTCACTGAGCTCGAGACGACTGCTGAAAGATTGATATTAAAGCTGTTTGTGGTCAAATCTAAAAAATAATCTTCATAAATACTTGTGATCTGGCTAGATCTTGTTTCAGCCCTTGGACTATGTGCTGGAAATGACCCTCAGCTACCACCACACCAAATTTTAATCCAATAGCTTTAAAAATCCCCTAACTTAAGCAATTTTTTTGTTTTGTTTTCTATTTGTGGCAGCCATCTTGAATTAAGTGACCTCTAAAGTTAATAAGTTGTAGATGCCCATCTACGGATTACTTTCAGATTATGTTATTAAAAAGTGCCCAGTGCTTTGAGATATTTTGCTGAGATGACAAACACAACGCAGGTGTTTACATTATTGCCCACCTGTTTGTCTTTTGACAACAGGTGATAAATAGAATCTACAGTTTTGCGCAGCCAATGTAGAGTATGAATTCTGGTAAAATGGAAAAAGTTACTTCTTCCGGACCAGCTGAATATTTTCATAAACACATGTAGAGCAGTCAGACTTTGTGTTGTCACTTCTGACAGGAGTGATTTCTGTCCCGTTCTTAAATCAAGTAGGAAAAAAGCCACAAACAAATGAACCATTCAAAAGATTTTAACACATTTAAGCAGACAAAATCATGCACTTTAGTTAAATTTTTCAAAAACCCTGCTTCATTTTTGTTTTTATATGCAAGACTTCTCTCCTGTTTAGATTTAATTTACACATTTGTTTGAAATGGATCAGAAAGTAAAGCCGCCTGCCATTGTACATGTTTTTGCTTCAAAACTGGAGACTAGAAAAAGGTTAGAGGACAGTTATTCCTGTGATCAGAACTCAGTCTTCAGTTAAATAAATTAGAAGAATGTTTCTAAGTAAAGAAATATTGCTGAATTAAAGTGATAAATATCTTTTGTGTGCTTTTGCCATACAGTTTATTCCACCTCTGCTGAGGTTTAGTTACCAAGTCAGTTTTCAAGGCTTTAATACAGAAAGTTTGACAGAAAATATATCGAATAAAGACATTTATGATCAATATTATCTCGTGCTACAAAACACAGCCATGTATGATCAAAGGCTCAGTGCTCACAGTATGATGATCAGGTTTAATTTGGATGCATTCAGGTGTTTTGGTTACCTATGTGAAGATTCATCAACATTCTGTCTTCCTGATCATGAAAGAAAACCGGTTGTTCTCAGGTTTGGATTGTTCAGCTGTGCTTTTCCTCCAAATGAAACAAGCAACTCAATATTAAACTACTGCAGAACATGGAAACACCATTTATAAAATGGCAACAGCACCTCGAAATCTTCTGCACCTTTTATAACTTAATGTTACGCAGCAACATATCCGTTTTTTTTAGTGGTTGCCGTTTGGTCATGAAGGTGATTTGGCTTTTTCTCTCTGCCTTCAGAGTCATGGAGCAGCACAAACTCTCCAAAGAACAGTGGGAAGAGAGGATCCAGGTGTGGCACGAGGAGCACTCTGGGATGCTGAAGTGAGCTGATCTAAATCGGAAGCTTGTGTTTTAATGAAATTCTGGAAAAGCTGATCAGAGTATTCAATCTTGCAGGGAGGATGCCATGATGGAGTACCTGAAGATCTCCCAGGATCTGGAAATGTATGGAGTCAACTACTTTGACATAAAGAATAAGAAGGGAACAGAGCTGCGGCTGGGAGTGGACGCGCTCGGACTCAACATTTATGAGAAAGACGACAAGTAAGTGTAGGATCTTACCAGACCTTTAGAGTACAAAGCTGTGCTGTGTTCGGGCTCTTGTTTTTGCGTTTGTTGCTAGCTGCAGCCCTGCGTTACTGTTGGATAAAATATAAAACATTCATAAAACCTTATCCAAAAATTCCCCATTGAACTAAACAGAATTGTGTCTGTGCCTACTTACTCTTCCTTTTGCTGTGCAGGAGTAATTCAAATAAAAGTCAGACATTATGAAGTCTCTTTGTTTATTTTTATATATAAAAATAAAGTCAAAATTGTAAGAAAGTGCAAATCTTTGCATAATAGTTGCACAGTCCACATGCAGTTTTGTAATCATGCCTGATTACCTAATGAAATACTGCTGGACAGTGAGGTGATTTTTAACCATTGATTTATGTCACACTGCTGAATTACATTTTATCTTGTCATGATTTCCACCTTGTGCAGTTTTGGCTCTCGCCTCAGAGCTGAAGCAGAGTTAAAAGTTGCTGAACCAGGTTGACATCTTCAGTCAGACATTACCTACTTTTCCTGTTTAGAAGAGAGAAATGTAAATGTTCCTGTTTGAATCATTCTCTGGTGGGGTGTTCAGCTTTGTGCTCAAACTGCAACCTACTTTTTCAGACCCGTCAGTGTTTTGCTTTCGTTCTGTCTGGATTTACTCGTGATGTCCTTCTTGTTTATGAAGCAAAAGAGTGTAGGTGATGATGATCCTTTTGTTTGGTTGCGGAAATGACTTCAAAGATCTCCTCCGTTGAGTTACTGGAGTGAAGTGCTCTATTAAAAGCACTCTCGGATGACTTCTCTTTCAGTCGTTAAGTGCTGGAAATGCTGCCAGCTTTGCTCTGGCTGAGTCGTCGCAGATTAGAGCCCTTCCAGTTTTAACGAGACCTTTTCTGAGTTTTCAGATGTGCCTGTGGTAGATGTGAACATGGTCCAGTGATGGTAATGACAAGATTATGCCAGCCAGCTGCCTTGTGATGCCTTCAACTGAACCTTTACAGTTTAATTATTTCTCTTTTTACGTCTGAAAGATTTAAATATGGACTGCTGTTGTGATTAAGTTGGTCCAAGTCATTCATTTAGTGTTACTGTCCCCTGACTGGTGTTTGAAATCTCACGTTCAGAAACATTAGTCCTTGTATGAGTCTATTTCCTCGTGCCTCCTGGGATCAGCACAGAGAAGCCTCCTTTACGGTGCCCTCTGCTGTAACCAAGGATACGCCAACTGGTTTTTCAAGCTGTGCTGCACTCTGGAACGCTGTGTCTCGAGTAAGGGCAGCTGTCCCACAATGCAACAGTGCAGCCAAGGCTTGCACTGAGGTGCAGCCTGAAGCTGCTTTAACTCCTTATGCTCCTGAGGTTTACTTTACTTCACCATTGTTGACCAGTACAGTCCAGCAGTGCAGCTGTTTAGATGGAAGACTTGTTCTTTTAAATTTCTGGATTCATCAAAACTTGGTGTAATCAGATAATAAATTATTAGCCTTAATCATATAAACTAATACTTTCAATGAACTGGTTTTGAAAATAAATAATTGGGTAATCAGTCATTTTAGACAAAAAATACAAAATTATTACAAATTAATTATTTAAATGTCTCTGCACAGGTAATTTAACAAAACCAACATAATTTTATACAAATTTTATGTTTAAAAAAGATAAATTTCAGAAATGTTATGCTTGTGTCATCTTTGCAATATTACAAAAAATGTTACTGAACTCTCTTGATTTATTCTCTGAAATACTAAAACTGAGTTTGTAGTGGAGCCCCTAAACTTATCAGTAACTTTGTTTTTTATTTGGACACAATGATTCTAATAAATATTGTAATAAAACATGAAATATAGAGACTAACATAATTCACCTGCTTTTCAAGTTTTACATTTGACGGCTTAGTCTAGCTCAGATTTATTAATAAAACTGTTCAATAAACCTCAAAACTGGCAGAAACATTTAATAAATACAACCACGTTGTTTTTTTTTTTTTAATTCCACAAACGAGTTCGGTTTAAAGCAGCAAGTTTTGCCGCCGTGTCACCTTGTCCATGTTTACAGTGCTGCTCTGCATAATGCTGCATCTGTTTGGCAGAGGTTCAGTTTGTTTGGCACAGCGGAGCGGAGAACACGCCAGATTTATCCATCATCCATGTTCAGTCAGCAGGAGAGATGATTACTCTGTGTACAGTTTGTAGCAGCGGATTGACTGTAACTGAGAATGATCGCTATTATGTTCACATAAAACGTACGTTATCAATGAGAAACGTAAAGCTGCAATTGATGGGTTATTTATAATATCTAATTTTATTTGTTATAAATTACAGCAGGCAAAGAAAATACATTTTGATTTAGTAAAACTCAAGTTCTAAGGTTTGAAACCTGAAACTAAAGAAACACCACTATGTTTGGATCAAGTGGTTTTTTTATGTTTGTTTTTTTTAATCCTGCTTTTGTAAGCTGATGATCTCAGGAAGCAGCTCAATGTTTTTTTAAGAGTGTGACTAAAGCTGCAAAAGTTATCAACAATTTATTATCACTGTATGAATATTGTGCTGCAATAAATCATAGACCACTATATTTCAAGTAGCGTGGCTCTGCATGCTGACAGTGTTGCACAAATGGTCATTCTAACGGACACATGCCTACACAGCCTTGATGCCTACACCTGAGGTTTGCATCCTGATCAAATTCTGAGTACAAGCAGCCAAAATGAGCTTCCTTTAGGGTGACTGGACTCAGCCTTAGAGAGAGGATGAGGAGCTCCGTCCTCCGGGGGGGAGCTCTGAGTAGAGTCGCTGCTCATCTACATCCAAAGGAGTCAAGTGAGGTGGCTGGTGCATCTGATTAGGATGACTCCTGTCGTAGAAGTGAACTGATTCACAAACGATCAGGTGTAGATTTCATCAGATTTCTTACAAAGCTTTGGGGAACAGTCACAGAAAGTTGATGCATCACAAGTTTGTTCGTTTTGTAGGAATCTCCTCCTCCCCCCTCCCCTGTGTCCCAGCTCTAATATTATCAGAACCAAAACTGCCAAGACACAGAGGAGCCGCTGAAGATAAACACCGGGGAACGAACCACAGCATCTACCATAACATTCAAAAGTCTCAAACAAATTTAAAAAACGATGAACCTGGGTGGAGTTTGCATGTTCTCTCCGTGCACGCGTGGGATTTCTCCGGCTACTCCGGTTTCTTCCCCCAGACCAAAAATATGCATGTTAGTCTGATTGGTAACTCTAAATTGTCCCTAGGTGTGAGTGAGAGAGTGAATGGTGTTTGTCTCTGTGTCCCTGTGATGGACTGGAGACCTGTCCAGGGTGTACCCCGCCCCTCACATAGTGATTGCTGGACATGGGCACCGGCGACCCCCGTGACCCAAAATGGAAGAAGCGGGTAAAGATAATGGATGGATGGAGGAACCATGACTCTTTGCTGTCTTCTTGCAGATGGAAGCATAAAAAATGATCATAATAAGGAAAATGAACACATAATGTCATTTTGATACTTCACAATGACCTAACCTAATTAAAGGATTCTAAAGGTTATTAATATAGTAAAATAATATTCAGTGTATCAAGAAACGATCAATAAAAAAAATTTCCATTATACGCCCTTTGAAGGTTTTCCGGGCATATGTCGCTGGGAAGAGACCCATAACTCTTTGGAGGGGTTTTATTTGCTCTCTGGCCTGGGAACACCTTTGGGTCCCACAGGTGGAGCTGGAGGGAGAGGAGGTCTGGGTTTGTTGCCTCTGCAACCCAACTACTGATAAGTGGTAGAAGATGGAGACAGATGTTTCACTGTAACATCCAGTTTGCTTATTAACATTAAAAACACATTTTGCAAGAGAGAAGTGTGAGCGTTCAATCTACGTAGGTCATTTGCATATTTGTTTGGTCCTAAATTCAGCAATCATGTAACTACATTTATTTCATACCGCTGTGATTATTGCTTTAAAGCTGTTCTTATTGTCAGTTTTTCACTTGTATGATGGCACATGAGTAAAACTAACATCATGTCTATATTGTTTACACCATTTGGTGGAGTTCAGATTGTTTGTGCTGTTTTAGCGTCTTGGTTTGGAAAATCTGCCACGGGCCATTTTTATTTAGAAACTCTAACAAGCAAATTTGATATTTTTTACTACTAATGTTGCTAATGTTGTAACACTGTATTTCCACAGATAAATTTCCAGCTGTGAAGTATGCATGCAGCCGTAATAGAGTTCATGTGGTCATTTTTTTTTTCAGATTGACCCCAAAGATCGGCTTCCCCTGGAGTGAGATCAGGAACATTTCCTTCAACGATAAGAAGTTCATCATCAAGCCTATTGACAAAAAGTCTCCAGTGAGTGAAATGCCATTTAAATGTTCTTAACATAATTATATCTTCGCTGTTTGTGTAATAGAGCGCTCCACCTTCAGAAATCTTATTTTCACTCTTTAAAAGCTGATCCTACCTGTGCTCGTCTTTAGTGCCTCCGGTCTTAAACCTTCTCTGATCTTCAGAGTTTTTTGCTTTAGTTTTACTTGTAGGATCAAAGTTTTATGTAGGAAAGTGCATGTAGGAAGGGATTTTTAGTTAATAACTTCAAAAGCAAAATAAGTGGTATAAAACTTGTCTGACTGCCTTGATCTACATTTTACAATAACAGATGGGTCTAAATGTATTTATCAGTGAAGCGTTCTTTTCTGTCCCGTTTTGCACATTTTTCTCAAGCGTTCGTTTCTCCTCCAAACTTCAGGACTTTGTCTTTTACGCACCGAGGTTGAGGATCAACAAGCGCATCCTGCACCTGTGTATGGGCAACCATGAGCTGTACATGCGTCGCCGCAAACCAGACACGATTGAGGTTCAGCAAATGAAGGCCCAGGCCAGAGAGGAGAAGCAGCAGAAACAGATTGAGAGGTACTCAAAGGCTTGGAAAGAGTGCTTCAGTATGAGCTTAAATCATCCAGAGTTATGGCTTACTGCTAGTTTCTTGGTCTTAAATCATCCTGACTCATTATTGTGGAACAATAATTACTAAAGAAACAAGTAATCAACATTTAAATAAAGTAAAATAAAAAGTTGTCTAAACTGGTAAACTGTTCAGCTAGCTGCTTTCTGACAAACATTTGCTTACAGTTTCATGGATGAGCACATAAACGGTAAACTAAAACCGAACAATGTTCAGTCGGGTCATCTGGACAGCTTCTTTCTTTTCTTTTTTTTTTCTTCTTATTTTTGTTGCTGATATGTTACGTCCTTCATCCAAAGGACTTCTTCAATCTGAGGAGCCACCAAACAAACTAATTCCCACAAAACAGCACACTCCATAGTGGAAAAAAAAAAAGTTTGCTGGTGCTAAGATGGCCTCTGGGGGCCCACCCTCTCCGCCGTCAACTCCTCTGAGACAGTCATGCCAAAGTGGTTCAAAACACCAAATTCATGCTCTATAATCCAGGTAAAATCCAACATGCTGTATAATCCAGGTAAAAATCCAACAATGTTCAGTCAGGTCTTCTGGACGGTTTATTTCCTTTTTTTTTTTTCCCTGAGACATTTCGTCCTTCATCCAAAGGACTTCTTCAGTCTAAGGAGCCACAAACAAACAGGTTATCTTAGCACCAGCAAAGGGCTTCTCAGATTGAAGAAGTCCTTTGGATGAGGACGAAACGTCTCAGAAAAAAAAAAAAACATCCAGATGACCTGACTGAACATTGTTGGATTTTTACCTGGATTATTGAGCATGAACTTTGGAGTAAACTAAAACCTTTTTACACTGTTTTCAGTCAGCTTCCTGCGTCAACCAAACTGAAAGTGAATACGACCCTGGTCTCGTCAGCAGCTGTCGTCCTTCTGTCTGTCTTCAACAGCTGTTCAAACACGATGATGTAACGCAAAACCATCAAAACACAGAGAGCGTGCACACCAGACTCCTACGTTTACACACAGTAGCTCACAGACGAGCTGCTCTGCAAAACATTACAAGATTTGTGACGGGTCATTAGAGACGTCGTTTAAACAGAATCAAACCCTCAGGGTTAAGTTAGGCGTGACATTAAAATAAACAGAAAAATACCAACATCAGCTGGAAATGAGCAATAATGAGTTATCTAATTATACAGATATATCTTATGCATAAAACCTGCTTCAGTATGTTTAGTTCAATGTGCACAGAAATAAAATGAATCTACTTTGTGTTTTACCATTCTGGATTTAAGGTATATGATGTGTAATACTTTAACTTTGTAATGTTTTAACATGTATGGAGTGTGAAAGTGACAAATATTTATAATTTCTTAGAGATATCTGCTGGTTGAAGTTGTTTATGTAATTTGTAGCCGAGTATCCAAAACTTTAGTCTAATCTGAGGAATATAAATGATTTTCTTTTCACCGAGTTGATAAAGAAAAACTGTCTACCATTTAAAAAATATATCTATTTTTTGTAAAATTAGAAAAAAATATTACTTAATGGAGCAGCTTGTGCAGTATATTGTTCTTTATCTGCCATGCTAAAGATCAATTAACTAAGTGGTAAATAAAGCGACCAGCAGATGCATTGGCTATGACATAGTTTGCAGTTTTTGAAAACCCTTTGATTCTGTTCAGTTGACCTTACTCGGATCACAAGGTGCTTGAAAAAGTGCTACACTTTTAAATGACATGACCTAACCTGCAAACAGTCGCAGTATAAAGTAAATATTGTTCACATGGGAGTTAATTTGGACTCTGTGGGATCCTGATGGATGCAGAGACGGCTCCTATTGTTGCAGAGGTGCTCCGTAAACAAGCTGCGGTGTCCCTGGGTCCGTGTTTGCAGTCATACATCAGCGGTAGTTTTTTTTATTTTTTATTTTTAGTCCGCTTACAACATTATCTTATCTGCAGGGCCCACCTGGAAAATGAGAAGAAGAAGAGAGAGGCCATCGAGAAGGAGAAGGAGCAGATGGAGCAGGAGAAGCAGGATCTCATGCTGAGGCTTTACCAGTTCGAGGAGAAAACCAAGAAGGCAGAGAAAGGTGTGAGGGGGAGGGGCTTTCTGTGGCTCATCAGTCACTTCCTGTATCCCTTAGGGTACAAAACATGTTTGTGAGAGGAACGTGGTTGGAAAATGTGTGCATGTGCTGTAAACATCAGGCCAACAGGTTATTCTGTATATGCCTGTTAATCACTTTGACTGATTTATAATTTTGTAGATTTTTTTTTTTTGACTCGCTGCTGTTTCTTCTTCTTCTTGCTTTTCCTTCTTCAAGGGTCACCACAGAGAGTCATCCTCCTCCATCTCACTCTGTCTTCACTCCAGCTACCTCCATGTCCTCTCTAACTGCATCCATATGTCTCCTCTGTCTTTGTCCTGACAGCTGCATTTCTAACATTCTTCTACCATTATACCCACTGTCCCTCCTCTGGACATGTCCAAACCATCTCAGTCTGGCCTCTCTAACTTTATCTCCCAGTTCAACCTATGCTGTACCTCTGATGATCTCATTCCTAATCTTATCCATCCTTGTCACTCCTAAGAAGAACCTAAACATCTTCATTTCTGCAACTTCCAGTTCTTTCTCCAGTCTTTTTGTCAATGCCACTGTCTCCAGACCATACAACATAGCTGGTCTCACCACTGTCTTGTAAACTTTTCCTTTGACCTTTACTGATACTCTTTTGTTGCAAATCACTCCTGAAACTTTTCTTCATCCACTCCATCCTGCCTGGACTCTTTTTCACTTCTTTACCACATTCCTCATTTTCCTGGAAAGTGGACCCCATGTATTTGAAGTCCTGCACCTTTGTGACCTCTGTCCTTGTAGCCTCACTGTTCTACCAGCCTCCCTCTCATTCACACACATGTACTCTGTCTTACTATGGCTGACTTTCATTCCTGTCCTTTCAAGTGCATACCTCCACCTCTTCAAGTTCTCTTCCACCTGTTCCCTGTTCTCACCACAGATCACAATGTCATCTGCAAACATCATAGTCCATGGGGATTCTTGCCTGACCTCATCTGTTAGTCGGTCCATCACCAGAGCAAACAAGAAGGGGCTCAGAGCCGGTCCATGATGCACTCCCACCTCCACCTTGAAGCTATCTGTCACTTCTACAGCACATCTCACCACTGTCCTGCTGTTCTTATACATGTCCTGTACCAGTCTAACATACTTTTCTGCCACTCCAGATTTCCTCATTCAATACTACACCTCCTCTCTTGGCACTCTGTCATATGCTTTTTTATATAATCCAAAAGCACAATGGAGTTCTTTCTGACCCTCTCTGTACTTCTCTATCAGCATCCTCGAAGCAAAGATGGCATCTGTGGTGCTCTTTCTTGGCATGAAACTGTACTACTGCTCACAAATTGTTACCTCTCGTCCAAGTCTAGCTTCCACAACTCTCTCCCACATGTTCATCATGTGACTCATCAACTTAATTTCCCTGTAGTTGCTACAACTCTGTACATCACCCTTGTTCTTAAAAATGGGCATCAGCACACTTCTTCTCCATTCCTTAGGCATTTTCTCACCCTCAAATATGTCATTGAATATTTGAGTCAAAAACCTCACTGCCATCTCTCCAAGACATTTCCAAACCTTCACTGGTACGTCATCAGGTCCTTCCCCTTCTTCATTCTTTTCAGACCTTTCCGGACTTCGTTAATCTTTCCCACTTCCTGGTCGACAGTTTCTATGACCTCTACTCTTTCTTTTTCATCCCCTTCATTCATTAGCTCCTCAAAGTACTCCTTCCATCTTCCCACCACACTCTCCTCACGTGTTAGAACATTACCATTTCTATCTTTAACAATCCCAACCTGCTGCACATCCTTTCCAGCCTGATCTTTCTGTCTTGCCAATTGGTATAAGTCGTCCTCACCCTCTTTAGTGTCCAGCCTCCCATACAACTCATCATACGAAGCACTCGCATATTAATTTTGGCAAACATGTTTTACATATGATGCCTTTCCTGGCTCAAACATCACCAATTACCCAGGCTAGTGGCCGGCACAAGAGATACACTGGCTTGTGCTCTTTAGTGGCCTCTTTAGTTTTCTCTCTCTTTGATTTTGTCAGAAATCTGAAAAGCAGAAGTCTGTCATGCACTTACAAATTCAGCATCAATACGTAACCCCCCACAGATTATTCAGGTCACCAAGTGATTTCAGGGATTCACTTTGAATCTTCTACACTGCATATTTGTATTTAAAATATTTTGGTTATCTGCCCTAAACAAGTGACTAAAGTTTAATCTTTTAAGGCGAGGACTGCGTTTACCCAAGTGCGATGTGACGTTTTATCCTGCAAGAAAACCACTCTAAATGTGGTGTCAATATAATGCTTTTTAAATATGAAAACTATTTTAAACATTAGCTGAATAGCTCATATTTTTTCCAGTATAAATTTGTTTTATTTGAAAGCTTTGGTAAACCCTTAACATTTTTGAAATAAAAAGAAAATGCCAGTTTACATTCACCTTTCAGATCTTTATCCATGAATAAATATGGACACACATTTAATTGTTAATTAATTGATTAATACCTAAATCGAAAGGCTCAGAGTACAACTCCCAAGTTGCCTTGGAAAAATACAAGCTCGCTACAGCATTTAAAACTGAACACTTATTCACTAAATTAGAAATGGAAAGTATGTCTTATGTCACGTATATGCCATTTCTGTGACTTCAGAATATGTTTGTTTTCCACTGACTTTTACAGCATTTACACTCAGTGCAGCAGCTGTTTGATTTAATAATTTTGTTTTGTCCTTTCATTTGTTGGTGCACACTGATCCTCTGTTAATGTCAAAGTAAAGACAAGATCAGATCTAAAACACGTTCAGTCACATAACAGACTGCTTCTTTCCACAGATGATGTAAATAAAGGCTCAGTCACTTGTGAGGTTTTATTTCCAAAACAAATCTTTAAAGGACCAGGACTAACAGAAGAAGAGGTTTGTACGTCTGTCATGAAGACTTGTTGATGCTCAGAATGAAATAAAAACATTCAGCCTGACTGAACCTGAGCACTGTGGCTTATATTGACTGATCTTAAACTGCTGTGAACACTGTGCATCAGTCCGCATCTGAAAGTAGTCCTCAAACAAATGCACTTTGTTTTAAGACCTATAGCTTCCAGGTGAAATAAGACGTACGGTAGAGGTGAAAACTGATGACGCTTCTTCCTGTTTGCATTTTAGAGTTGCAGGATCAGCTGCAGAGAGCCATGATGCTGGAGCAGGAGAGGAGGAGGGCAGCGGAGGAGGCCGCTCGTCTGGAGGTGGAGCGTCAGGCAGCTCTGCTGGCTAAAGAGGAGCTGGCCCGCCAGGCGGAGAGTCAGAAGAAGACTCATGAGCAGCTGGTCAGTATTGAAGTTCCATAAATTTGTCTTTTATTTCTAAATCCTTCTTTACATTTCATTGTGCTGCAGTCTGAAAGTTGCAGGTTGATCAGCACTAACTTATAAATGGACACATTGTTGTCAAGTATTTTTAAAAGCTTTTCTCAGTCTTAGATTAAATTAGACGGCTGTGAAATCCTGTGACGACACGTGCCATCTTCTTTAGATGTTTGAAAGCACATAACTGATCCAAAACCATGCCTACTTCCTCGTATCGGTTTTTGAAATACAACCGATTTGACTGTCAAAGCACATTTATTAAGGAAAAGTTCAACTGAGACAAACATTTACTATAATTTCGAGCAAACAAATAATTGGTTTTAAGCATTAATCTTGTTAAATTCTCGTTAAAGTCCTTCCGTGCACACTCCTGCGACCGCCATTTGGTAGCCCATTGATTTTTGGCACAACACCGTCCCACATTTCCGGGTTGTCAGCAGTGACGTGTAACAAACGCGACGCGTCAGCATTGCTGCATTATAGATGCAACGTATTTATAGATTTTTCCACTTTATTAGACAAATATGGACTGATGCAACTTATAGGGTGGAGCAACGTGTACGGCGGAAAAGACGGCTCAGTTTGTAAATCCTCTTCATATTGACAATAAAAGGGGATATAAAATTAGTAAAAATAAATTGTACAAACCAAAAAAATCAAGCACATTCTACACTTGGTCTCTGTTGAGTGAAAACAAATGTTAAACTACCAAAATGGGGACTTAGATGTTTTTGAAAGAGCTTATTTTAGTTTGTTTAGAAAAGATTTACAAGAAAATTAAACTTACTTTGATTTTTCTTGGCAAGTTTTTTTTTTTAAACTTCTTAATAAAAAACTTTTTAGCATATCTAATCTTCAAAACTTAGATTAACTTTAGCTAATGTAAGCTTTTGATGTCACAAGTGTAATTCTGGTATTGCTTTTCTGCAAATGAAAATATTTAGGATAAACTCACAAAAACCTAAACCTTCCTTTTCAGTTGATACAACAAAATATAACTTATTGTTATTAAAAAAACAAGATCATAAATCTATTTTATAACTTTTCGTAAAATATCTTTCTGTTTTAGAGCCTTTCATTTTTAATTATTCTTATCTCTAGTATTATTGTGTCTTATAATTGTTGTTTTAATAATCTAAGAATGTGCAGTGTTTTTTATAAGCACCTTGTAATGCTGTTTTGAAAGGTGCTATATTGGTAAAGTTCATCATTAATTAATTTTAATCGCTGTGTGCATGTTTTCTTTAAATGTGATGTCTGGTTTCAGGCGTCGGAGCTGGCGGAGCACTCGGCCAAGATCGCGCTGCTTGAGGAGGCGAGGAGATGCAAAGAGGAGGAGGCTCAAACATGGCAGCAGAGGGTGGGAGCTTTAACTCATACACACAGCTGAGTCTAACTTCCATCTTTCAATCAAATCTCTTCTGTGAGGAGAAAATCATGGGATCTGTCGTCATCAGGCTCAAGAGGCTCAGGACGATCTGGTCAGGACCAAGGAGGAGCTGAACATGGCGATTCCGGTGCTCCCGCCGCCTCCACCCCCGCTCATGTACGACCACATGGACGACAGCAGCGACAGCGAAGAGAACAATAACACGCACAGCGCCGACCTGCAAGTAGATGACTTCCACGACCACCGCAAAGAGGAGGAGCGCCTGACGGAGGCGGAGAAAAACGAGCGCGTCCAGAAGCAGCTGAAGGTGAGGAAGACCTCACCCAGACCGCCGCAGGGCGAAGGAGCGCCTCGTGGTTTACAAATTTTTACTGATCTTCAGATCAAACGAAGTCGACACTTCCTGCTCGAGCTGCTGCACTCAAACAGCTGCCAGTTGTTCTCACAGTTTCAAAACCGTCCGTGTTTTTCTTTTTGTTTAAACAGGCTGAGCCACATATTTTCTATCCTGTGCACCCCACAAGTTCTATATAGATTTACTTTAAGTTATGCCTTTCATCTTGTGGTTTAGAATAAAAATGACTTTATGAATAAAAAAAAAAATAGAGAAAATAAATTCAACTTTGAGTAACAGGATCAAACAAATGTCATTTTGTAGTTCTGATGAGCTGAAATTAAATGGAATAGCCAACCACAGCAGACAGGCTAACAGGAAATATTTTGTTCCGCCATTTTGGTAGGAGCCATACGGCGTCTTTAGTTACTACCAGAATGACAGAACACTGTTTCGTAAAATAACTAAATTTTAAAAAAACCAAGAAACTCAAAGTTTGCTAATATTTACATGAACCAAAACTTCAAAGAATGTGGCAACATTTTTTTTTTCTTTCTTCTTCCTTTGGAAATAATAGTCTAATAGGCTGGGACTGCCTCTCCCTCTAGAGTAAACTGCTATAATTTCTGTAAAGCAGAGTACTGAGGGTTGACATGCTAACTACAAACCAAACATTAATATCAGTACTACATTTTCTGACATAGCCATTAGTTTACTAATCTGATCTACAGTAGTTTATGGATAAAACGCTAAATGATAATGTCAGTGTTTGGGCTAAAGCTCAGTTTTCATGTCTGTTATTTAAGCTTAAATATTTTCAGCAATGTACAGAAGAAGGTTAACTTTAAGTTATTAGTGTAAGTGTGGTTGACCAGAGACTCTGATAGCAGATCTCTGGTCACATTGAGTAAACATGTAAAGTATATTCTTACCTAAAGTGTAGTCCTGTATTGTGTTTAATGATTACAGCTCTTACAATTTTATTACAGCGCTTGACCAGGCTTGTTGGTGTTACAGATCAATCTTCTTCTGTTTTACATTTGATATGTTTATTTTTTTTAAATAAAATAAGGGTTGTTTTATGCCGTTTTGGACCGGCGATGCAGCATACAGCATGCACAAAGCATTGGCTTGTGGCTTTTACATGTAAACACAGTGGTAGGCGTAGCACCTAACAAGATGGCTGCTACGATTCTCTCCTAGCTCCGTCTGTAGCCATTTCAGCATATTTCTGTTTGTGTTTCACCCACTTACGCTCTGAGGAATTAGCCTGGAATCTCCTTTACAAATTCTCTTTATTTATACCCCATGTTGTGGTTTTAGTAGTTTTTCATTTCAAGACATTTACAGACTCTACTAGAAAGAATTGCTTTTGATTGAAAGTCGCTCAACATCTGAATATTTCAGGAAATTTTAGTTAACCCTTTGTTTTACTTTTCATTTTTTAAATTTAATTATTCTTTTAAACGGTGTATCCTGTGTGCTTCACTTTGCTGCTGATAAACAGCACTTTCCCCACTGAGACAAATAAAAAGACTAATTTACTGTAAACAGCAGACCGTGTCGGTAAACCTGAACGCAGTAATGTTTCGGTGTCGTGACGACGTTGCGGCTGTTTGTTTTTGTTTCATGTGTTCTAACGCTGCTCCTCCCTTCAGGCCCTGACCTCGGAGCTGGCTCAGGCACGTGACGAGACCAAGAACACCCAGAACGACATCCTCCACAGCGAGAATGTGCGGGCCGGCCGAGACAAATACAAGACCCTGCGACAGATCCGGCAGGGCAACACCAAGCAGAGGATCGACGAGTTCGAAGCCTTATAGGAAGCCGTCGACGCTTTGCGGCGCTCCCCTTTCTGACTGGTCTCTACGCCTCGCTCGTCTGCAGACACAAGCTCACACTTATCCAAAGACACGTTGACCAACACGCTGTTGGTTAAACCCGGAGCACCGTAGAAGCAGAACTGAACTCTTTGAGGTCACAGGATTCAGGGCTTAAAAAAAAAACGTAGTGCCAAAACCATCTGTCCTCTTTTTATTCTCTTTGTTTTAAATATTCTTTATGGATTTGATTTAGTGTATGTCTTTGGTCAGTTCGAACAATTTGTTTTATGCTGCAGAGGGCGTTGTCACGTTTTATTACGACGTTATGTAACCAAAACCTGCTTCTGCTGGTTTCTTTAGTTTTTTTTATAGTGACCAATCAGAAAGGGCAAGACAGTATACGCAGGAAAATGTACGTTTGTTTTCCGTTATATTTGAACACTTCCATTTATGTTTATTACTGCTATAAAGTAGAATGAGATCTTAGTTTGATATTTATACTGTATATGGGACATGAAAAGGGTATTTCATCTTGGTTTGTATATTTTTGCTGTCTACTAATGATAAAAGCTTTTACCTAAATACTTCCAGTCTTGTGTTCCATATGTTTTCCTTTAGATTGCTTAAATAAAGAGATTTAAATGTAAATTATTTTTATTGTGGATCCAACTCTGCTGCTTCCTAGTAAACGCATCATAAGGACATCGACGCTCCGGTGCGTTTTCGAAGTGTCCCCTTCAGAGCTCTGTGTATTTTTCAGTTTTGTCCTTATAGAATGAGAGATGAGCATGTGTTTTATGGTTTCACCTTCTTAAAGTGGCCTTTCTGTCTGGTTGTCTCTCTGCAGACTGTTTGGCATCACCTCTTGGTGTTGTAGATGTTTTTTTTTTTTTTTCCTGAGTTTATTGAAGATTGAGCTAACCCAAACATTGTAAGACCAAACTTTTTGTCTTCGGACTAGATCTTGCACTGTAATGGAAAACACACCTCTACGCTGGACTTTGTATATAACCAGGATTTTATAAAAAGGTGTTCAACTTATCGGCAATAAAGAGCTAATTTTACGTCTGTGTGCATTTTATTTTACACCGTTTATCAAACGGAAACGGACGCTTCAGGCCTGGGGTTGCAAAGGTTGATGATCTTCACAGTTTTTCTATTGTTGCGGGGATAGAATGAGTGTTCCTCACTAGTTTAACAGATTTATTGAAAGGTTAAACTTTGGATTTTATTGTTTTTGCTCAGATGCCAGATTGTCAGCTAGTTGTGACGGAAGCGGGCTGGGCGAGTGTTTGAGCCTCCTGACCATGAGTCTGCAACCTTTACGATCAAAAGAGCCATTTCTGCCCCTTCATTAAATTAAACGTGTCGAGCCACAAACCCTGCTACAACTGGGATTCTCAACTGGTGGCCCGCAGACCACTTTAACCTAAGACCTGAACCTCTTGCATGACCTGCATTATTAATTCCTATAATGTCCACATATGTGGATGCTAGGTCATAGGAGGCTAAATTTGTCGGAGGACACTGTTCTGGCCTGTAGGGTAGTTTTCTGGCCATTGTAAAACGGAAAATATATTATGAATTTTAATATTTCTTTATATTTTTACATTTCAAGTCAAAATAAAAGACAAGATTCCTGCAAAGAAGGAAAAATAATGTTATTTCCCAATAAAAAAAAAAAAGAAAATGTAACAATGAACTATGCAGGTCCAGGTAAAAATTTTTAAATTGTGGAAAAATTAAATATCCTACTTCAAATAAAGTTAAAATTATGTTTTGCTCCTATTAGTTCTACTATTCACATATTCAATTCAGTTTATTTATATAGCGCCAAATCACAACAAAGTTGTCTCAGGGCACTTTACAGGAACATTCACATATAAAAGCCAATTAGTAAAGTTCTCTATCTCCAGTTAAGACTCTGGCAGCAGCATTTTGGATCAACTGAAGACGTTTTAAAGAAATATTTGGACACTCAGATAATAAACCATTGCAATAGTCCAGGCTAGACATGACAAATGCATGGACCAGTTTTTCTGCATCATTTTTAGATGTTTCTAATTTTAGTGATATTACGCAGGTGGAAGAAGGCGGTTCTAGTAACGTTTTTAATGTGGGGTTTAAAAGACATGTCCTGATCAAAAATGACACCAAGATTTTTAACATTAGAGCTGGAGGACAGATTAATGCCATCTAAGGAGGGAGAAAGACATGCTTGTAATCTAAGTAGCTGATTGGATTCATTGGGTTTCATGGACAAATATAATTGTGTGTCATCAGCATAACAATGAAAATTTATCCCATGCTGTTTAATAACTTTATCTAATGGAAACATATATAAAGTAAAGAGTAAAGTAAATTTATAAAGGAAATGACAGAAAAACTGCTAAAACAAGCCCTTTTTGTTGTTATAAGAACCATTAAAATTCAGTTTAAAGTTAATTTTGATCAAAGCCTGAAAGAGCCGCTGCAAAGGGACCAAAGAGCCACATATGGCTCCAGAGCCGCAGGTTGCAGACCCCTGCTCCTGACAGAGCGCAAGGCAAGCTGTAAACGTACAGACCAAAATAAAAAATTTATACAACAAAAATCAAATAAAACATGACATTCTTATCGCTGGGACAAAATAAATACTTTCAACAGAGAATAAAGTGCAGATCTTCTGGTACTTCAATAAAATGAACAGTTGATGACTGAGCATTGTCCTGAGATGCCACTCGACAAGTTTTCCAGAGAAAACAGATTTAAGAAGAAAACAGGTTCTTTCTGAAGCAGTGCGTCATGAAACCAGTCTTTAACTGCTTCGTCAGGACCAAAAAGGTTGTGCAGGTCCACTTTGTCTCTGAAATAATCACCTCCTGGGCTGGGCGGCCATGCTTCCTGATCACATTCATCAAAATCCTCCTTGTTTCCCACTAATGTCGTTTGCAGGAAGGCTTGTCTCCTCCGATTAGAGAACGTGGAGTTAAAGCGGAAACTGACTCTGGAAAGATGCTCCAAAGGCAGCAGAGCGACCTTTGACCCTCACAGCAACACTTCACTTTAAATGTTAAACATTTATATTTAGTTAATTCTGTGCGACTCCATCTGTGAAGCTAGAAGGATCTGACTAGTTAAAACTGTCACGACAGGCGGCGGGTGACATCATTCAACTAATGCTAGGCCTTTAGCTTCCCGTGTCTTAGCTTCTGACAGTCAGAAATATTGTAAATTAATGTATAAAATACAATATATATAATACAGTAGTCCCTTACTACATCGCATTTCGACTTTTGCGGACTCGCTCTTTTGCGTTTTTTTTCAAAGTAAAATTGAACACGAGGGGAAAAAGTACTTGATTGTCAACTTTACTATTACTCACGTGATTGGGACAGTACAGGATACTGTACAGTAAAAAGTTAACGAAAAAATAAAATATTTTGGACAGGCGTTGCCTTTTTGTCATTTTCTCTCAATAAGCCTAGAACTACATTTCCCAGAAGCCAACAGTGCCCCGCCCAGAAGCCCCGTTGCCTTCTGCTGAAATACATAGAGGGAAAGTTTTGATCTGATCTGAAAAAGTTCAGTCCTTTACAGTGACTTCGGCACCCAGTGGATGCAGAGAGTTGCATGAAACCCACCAGGAATCGGACCAGACCTGGACCAGAACCGGACCCCCAGACTCACTGGTGAACCCGAGAGCTGCCAGCCGGCCCACGAGAACTTCCGAGTGTGGGACACGCCGCCGTAGATCCGGCTTCTCTCTGGAGCCCAACGCCACTACCCCGAGCCAAAGAGACGACCAGAACCAGAACTGGCAGGGTAGGTCCACCGAAACGGAACCAAGTCGGAGCAGAACTGAGCCGCTGCTGTTCTGCAGAGCTGGTGAGTTAAAATTTAGTAGCTACATATACGTATGTTGTTAAAATTAGTAGGTTTATCAGTTTAGAACATTGCAAGAGGTTTCTAAAGCCTTAAAATCTGCAAATACCAAAATAAATATAACGTTGCTACTTCCTGGATTTTCACTCATTGAAGGAGTGTCTGGAATGTGACACCCCCCATGGCACACACACAATAAACGAGGGACTACTGTATAAATACTGTATTATCTGAATGAGAAGGGCTAAAAATCTTATAATCAATAGTTTAATTATTTGCAGGAGTTAAATATAAAGTTATGTAATGCGTGCCTATTGTCCATATTGTTCTTAGGAATTCTTTACAGGTGGAGTTAAAGTAAAGTGTTGCTTCAGAAAGTATCAAGCCTCTCCCAGATCTGCAGAACTGATTCAGAGTTCGTCCCAGTTCGGCCTTTCAGAGCTGGGTGGTCCTAAAGAGATCTGCGCCTCCGTCCTGGATCCAGGCACCTAAACGCAGCATAAAAAAACTGTTTAAATACGCAGGACTGATGCAGACGCCTTCAGTGCATTCATCCACACACACCAGAACACACACACTCCGCCACTCTCAGGTGAAGTGTACACACAGATGGGCCACAGTGAGAGTATTTACCCTCTGACCAGTGTTTGCATTAATGGGAAGGTAGCTCTGAGATTGAATTATTGCTGTGTGGCCTCGTGTTCACCTCTGAGAAACAAAAAGAGCTGCTCAGTGTTCACATGGAAGTGTTTGAAAGTGATCTTGTTCTGACCTCTAGTGCTGAAAGGAGAAAGATTCAAGCTGTCTTTTAGGGGTTTATTGTGTGAATGTTTATGAAGCGTTCACTCTATTGCGATCCATTTTTCTTCTGTATATTTTTCGGCGTCTTTATCGACCTGCAGTTTTCAAGCTATTTTCACAAATCATAAATCAAAACGTTCAGCTCTTTCAGGACAATCGGTACAACTTTAGCTTTTTAAAATATTTAGCCTTTTCTGCCACTTTATTTCTCGTAGAAAATGAATTGAGCTCATTTTACATCATTCAGATCTTTAGATCTGTTTACAACCTTTTACTGCTCCTTTTACATTTTGTTCTGATTCAGCTTCTTTCAGCTTTTTTGAGCAAATTTAAACATGTTTTCAGCTAATTTCAGCTGTTTTGTGCTCCTTTCAGATTCGTTCTGCTAACTACAACATTTTTATGCTTTTTCTAACGTCTTTCTGCTAATGTTAACTTCTTATGTTCCTTTCAGTTTATTTCTGCAAGTTTCAGCTTTTTCTACTATTTCAGCTACAATTTAGACTGTTTTATGATTAAATTTAAGCCTTTTCAGCTAATTCAATATGTTTTTGCACTCATTTAAACTTTGTTCAGCTTAAATCAGCAAAAAAAAAAAAGTGCTCCTTCCACTTCCTTCTTGTAATTTCAGCTTCTTTCTGCTTTTTTAGCTACTTTTCAGATGTTTTTTTTTTGCTCATGTCACCTTTTTTCAGATACTTTCATTTTTTTTGTGCTAATTTCTGCTTTTATCAGCCTAAGTGGGCAAACATGTTCTTTCTGCTTTCTTCTGCTAATTTCAGCTTGTTCTAACATTTTCAGCTACCCTTTTAGAAAATATTTTAGCTAATTTCAGCTGTTTTCAGATAAATTCAAGTTTGTCTTGGTAATTTCTGCTACTTTCAGCCTAATTAACTTCTTTATCTTAATTTCAGCTTGTTATGCTCCTTTCAGCTTTTTCAGCTAGTTTCAGCTTTTTCTGCTATTTCAGCTATTATTTAGCTGTTTTATGCAAATTTTAGCTTTTTCAGCTAATTCCACTTTTTAAAATGTATTTATTTAGCTCATTTCAGCTTTCCACTTCCTTCTCGTAGGTTAAACTTTTTCTGTCTTTATGGCTACTTTTTAGATTTGGCTAATTTTAGATTTTTTTTTTAGCTAATTTCCTATTTTTTGTGCTCATTTCTGCTTATTTGAACCTAATTCAGTAAATATTTGGTCTTTCTTCTTTCTTCTGCTAATTTAGGCTTGTTCTTCCATTTCAGCTACATTTCAGCATGTTTATTTAAGCCAATTTCAGCTGTTTTTCCAGCAAGTTTTTCAGTAATAAGTATTCACACTGTATTTTCACAGGAAATGCAATTTCTCTAGTTCCCATTTCTGACCTGTTTGAACTTTTATATTACCGATTTTAGCTTAACTGTCTCCTTATCTGTGCGTCTTCTGAGAAGTGCTGAGTCAGCTTCTGATTTGTTGGTTATCACATGCAGCACAGCAGATGGAATAAAAACTTAAAGTTCATTCATTTATCATCCAGTCACAGAAATATGAACTTCGCTGATCCAAAACAAAAACATAAATCAAACTTTTGTGTAAAATTCAAAACGTTTGATTAAAGTCAAACGGAGACAAACTTATTCATTACATTCAGCAGCTGCATTATTACCCGTCTTTCAGCAGCCAGCGACCAATAAATCAATAACAGACAAATGTGAGATTTAAGACAGTTAGCTGCTCACCTTAAACATAAAAAGCTTAATGTCCATTTTGCTCCGCTGCGCCAGCCGTTGTATTCTCAGCCTGAACACAAGCACACAACAAGAGCAAGATTAAAAACACAAACTTTCCCTATCAGACAATTGTTCCAAATGAATGAATGAAAATAATGATTAGAAACTAAACACGAAACAGATGTTACTGACCTTAATAACGCACCAATACCACAAACTACACACAGTAACATCACACACAGTTCATCCCAGGTTCTGGTGAGGGTTTGTCATAATTTACTGACTCTAACAACTTTTGTGACCCTCTGCTCGAGTTGGAACTACTGAGTTTTTGACTGTAGAAGTGTCCCAGAGCAGGAGGCTAAACTTATCTAGGAGTCCGTTCACAGGTTTATGTAAAATTAATCTATTTACAGTCTTTTTCAGACCTATAGTTTTTTTTAAATAAAGTCAATACAGTCATAATCAACATTTTGGTGATTATAAGTAGGTACAATGATATTGGCATGGTATCGGCCAATATTAGCGATAAAGCTAAATATCGTACATCGGCCATTCCATGAAAACAACTCAATGATATAAAAGGCTTCTGTTTTAAATTAATTTTTAATTTAAGAAACTGTCAAGTATATCTATTAATGCACTACTACTTATGCACTTTTCATAAGTGCATAAGCAATGCAGTTGAGATGTCAATGTGTTAGAAAGAGTAAATGTCATGAATAAATTTGACATTAAACAAAATCCAAGTTGAATTTTCAGCCCCTTTTTGGCATCTGCATTTGGTAGCAGGCCAAACTGACAAAGACCATGCAGAATAATGTAGGATTTTAATTCCACAGCAGAGAAAGCTATGTAGTCTCTGCAAGTAGGTCTAGGACAAAGAATATCAGTATTGGTATTGGTTATCGGCCAAATAAGTTTTAACATATTGTCATATCAGATATTGGATTTTATATCGTGCATCCCTAATAAAAAGCCACTTTTGTTACAAAAAACCAGTAAATTGCAATAATGTCTTACTTTGAATCAACGATCTGGGGTTGAACCAGACCCCTTTACAAGGACTGAGTGTTTGCGTTAGAGTTTAGAGTTCATCTGGTAAGAATGTGTGAGCAAAACATCCCAGCTGTTTTTAATGTTTTGGACCTGATGTGGAGCTATAACCTTAGAGATGATGTGCTTTACCTTCGGACACAGGGGGTACCAGTGGAATCTCTCTGAACCCTTGTTTTCTGATTTCAAGCCATCAAGTGGGATGAGAACTTCACCGAGGAACACTTTCCTTTTCAGGGCCCCTGAATGCCACACGGAGGCCTGCAGCCTCTTTCCAAACAGCAGGTGGCGCTCAATGTCATGCTGTCAAAAAGCAGACCAGAAACTTTATTAAAAACAAACACAGAAATCATTGGCAGCTGATGAAACTGATATTTCAAATGATTACCTTTAAAAGTTCATTATAAACCGGATCTGTCGTGTTCCTCTTCAGGGACGTCTTCATCTTGCTGCTCTTGTCTGGCAGCACGTAGAGTTTGACGTAACTAAACAAGCAGAACGATTTAACGGAGAACAACAGGATATTTAATGCACGCTGCAGGGCTGAGTTGTCCTTACGGGTGGCACTTTTTCTTCCTGCTGTCGCCGTAAGACAGATTTCTGCAGGCGCCGACTGTGATCTCCAGACAGCATCTGTTGGTGTTGTAGGCCACGGCCAGCTCCAACTCCCCGGCAACTAAGATGTTGTCAAAGACGCCACATTCTGTGCTGATGCTGCTGACGCTGCCCTGAGAGGGGAAGACACAGGATGCAGATGATGATCGTAATCTACGAGCTGATGTGGGAGGTGTTTAAGCTTCGACTCACCTTGTTTCCAATCGAGTGCTCAGAGCTGAACGAGGTTTCTTCCTCCGCTCCGGTGGACGAGCCATCCTGGTCGCTGTCTTTGAATTTCTTGAATAGGTTTGGAAGACTGTCGACTTTAGAAAGCTGGAAAACAGACAAATCTGAGATTTTAAAGTTGCATCAGATTTTCTGATGACCTTCAGTCTCTTTTCTTTGAGTTTTAAATTTTGAAATTCACGTGTGTTGTTTTCTTTGGAACGTGATCTTAACGAAACCGTTTTCTATCTTTTCCTGCCGGTTTCCAGTGGCGGTGGACTTACGGAGCAGGATTTGTTGATGTTGGTATCCGACAGGCTCTTCTGGGTGCAGTACTGAAAACAATGCCTGTTCTGGGTGTTGTCCACTGTCAGCAGGTCGCCTCGCACATCAGTCTGAGAACTGGAAATTTCTGCTGGGGCACAACGTTGGTTAGTCCAACTTTTAGACAACAGTGAAGAAAATGTTTAACCTAGAAAGTTCCTGGAGAAACTTTGAAGGGGACTGCCACGTGGCGGCTATTTTAAAATTTAGATGACAAACATCCATACGTTTTGATACAGTATATACTATATAAGCGTATCTTAAAAGATGAGGCGGAAGGAAGAGTTTCTTTGATGACTTTATGGGTTTTCTTCAGAGAGCTCTCTACTCTAGGTCATGTGACCTCACTGTGTCAGTTAGAGGCTGTGGAGAGTTCTGTCAAGCTTTTTGAATGGGAAAAATGGCGTCTTTGTTTGCAAATGTTGTCGCCATGGTAACCCAAAACTGCAGTTAAAGTAATAGCACACATCACGGGGCCGAGCCGGTCGTTTTGCTATAACATTTCTGGGGTACATGTACATGTTGCGGTTCAGGCCACATTAAAGTTAATGGAAGAGTAAAATATTTTCTGCTGTATAAGTCGCATCAGTCCAAATATGTCTAATAAAGTGGAAAAATCCACAAATATGTCTCTTCACCATATAGGTCGCATCTATTATGCGTCACCACTGATGCATCGCGCTTGTTAAGCATCACCGCTAACAACCCGGCAACGTGGGCCGGTGCTGTGCTAAAAATCCATTGGCTGCCAAATGGCGGCCGCGGGAGCATGCATGGGAGGATTTTAACAAGAATTTAACTAGATTAACACTTAAAAACAATTATTTGTTTGCTCGAAATGATAGCAAAGGTGTTTCTCAGTCTATCTTCTGCTTAATAAATGCACTTTGACGGTCAAATCAGCTGCATTTCAAAAGCCGATAAGCGGAAATAGGTGCGTGCACAGGGGGACTCGGTGTGCATTGCTTCAAAATTTAACAAGATTAACACCTAAAAACAATTATTTGTTTGCTTGAAATTATAGCAAAAGTGTCTCAGTCTAACTTTTCTTTAATAAATGCATTTTGATGGTCAAATCAGTTGCATTTTCTAAAGCCAATACTCGGAAGTAGCAGTGAGCAGAGGGACGACTTGCTGTGCATTTCTTTGAAATTTAAATAGACGACCACCTAAAAACAATTATTTGTTTGCTCGACTTTATAGTAAAGGTAATAATAATAATAATGTGTATGTATTGTCATCATTGTAAGTTTCCATACAATGGCAAAATTGGTTCTCTGCATTTAACCCATCCACCACCAGGTGGAGCCGTGGGCAGCCTTTGGAGGCGCCAAGGGAGAAACTGGGGATGGGGTGTCCTGCTCAGTGACACCACGAGATGTGCAATGACCGAGGATCGAACCCAGGACTTTCAGGTCCCGAGTCAGCTGTCCTGCCCCTCCATGATCTCGGACCCCATACACCATCTCGGGTGTGTCTCAGTTGAACTTTTACTTAATAAATGCACTTCAATAGTCAAATTAGCTGCATTTCACCGGGGTGGTGCAATGAAATGAAACTGATTTGATGGTTGCTCCAGGCGAGCTGGACGAAGGTGTCAGGTGTGGCAACCTGATTGTGTCATTAATAGCCACTTTTACCTATTACATGACACTACAGCACGCCACACTACTCAAGTGCCATCTAGCGGCTGAAAATGTTAGTCTTCAATATTTTCAGTCAGAATGAATGAAAACGGTCGTATCTCAGCCAAAAATTGGTTTATAAATATGGGGAAAAAACCCATAAATACATCGCTTTGACGTATAAGTCACCGTGACTTATAGGCCGAAAAATACGGTAAGATATAAAGTTAAGAAACGCTTTGTTAGGTTGATAATAATAGGTGGCTGCCTCATCAGGCGTCAATTAAGATTTGTCTGACAGAAAAACATCTAAAGGATATTTGGCACACCAACATGTCTTTACAATCTTTTCCTCCGCTGTTTCTGGTGTTGGTTTGACAACTTTGGTTTTTATTTTTTGCATCATCTTGTTACAAGTGTACTTCCTGTGTGGTTATTGCAGTGTGTATATTTAGTGTATTCAGGCAGATTTCACAGTAAGAAGAGACAATATTCACCAGAAGTCTCATTTCTACGTCAGAACTGAACGTTTTTCAGAAATTCCCCTTCGTAGCTCACATGAATAGTTTTAAACTCACTTTTAATGTGACTCTTGAAGCAAACCATTAGATCCTCCATGGATTTGGTGAAAGTCTTTGAGTTTTTCAGCTCCTGCAGATCAAAACACAATAAAAAGCAGCCCGTTTATTAATTTTACACTTTTACTGCAAGATATAAAAGCCAAATTGCATCTGGTTGGATGATTTGACCTTAAATCTGCTTCTAAACTGAAAGTCCAGATGGGGCGGAGGAGTTGGAGGCACGACTGATATATGTCTGCAATATTAAAAGAAAAGAGGAAAACTATTGATTGAACGAGTTAAGCGTTAAATAAACTGAAAAAGGTTAATCCTACCTTTGTACACCGTAGAACTCCAACAGTTTCTCTCCAACTGTCTTATATTTGTCTGTAAAACACAGATATAACAAAATATAAAATAAAATAGTGTCAAAAAAGTATTAATTAATAAATCTGAAAAAATTAAAAATATCAACACTTGGTGTGATTACAGAAAAATAAGTTATATAAACATGTCATCTGAGTGAGAACAAACCTCCAGTGACGGGAAATTTCTTGGCTTTTTCCTCTAAAAACCACTGTCCTGACCTGATCTTCATCTCCCTGTTGAGAGAAAATATGATGTGATCAGAAACACGACAACACGACGACGCCCAACGAGGGAAAAGAACAGGTAGAACGTGCAGTTAGTTTAAAAAAAAAAGGATGAACTATCCCTTTAATAATCTATTTGTGGATAATTTGTGAAGGAGGTGATTCGTACAAAACAAGTAAAATCATATTTTACACCAGTGGTGGCTGGTGGAGTTTTTTCTAAGGGGGGCTATAACGCCAAAAAAGACACATACATACACGCACACATACATACATACATACATACATACATACATACATACATACATACATACAT